GTTTTAGACTTGAATGAGAATATTATACTTTATTAGTTTTAAAAATGTAATTTATACTACAAGCACACTACTTAACTCGAATGAGTCGGGTTCAAGACTAAATTGCCGACAGGACCGATACTATTGTCTTGTCGCGCATTAGCAAAATATCTAAGATAAGACGCCTACATACAGGCGTTATTATATTCTGTAAAACAAGCGTCTCTATAGTCTCTATAGTGGTGYGCATAWAACATTGTGAACGCTCGCTGTGGCGATAAGTGACACTTATAATGTATATATTGTTGGAAAAAATATATAAGCTTTTATTATAACTTTCATAACTAACTTATTTTTTAACCATGCCTGTAGAATAGTTTGTTAAAAACTGTCTTAAGTCTGTATTTCAGTAGAGGCTCAATAAAAATGAAATCTGCACCTAAAACCACCCGGGACTCATTCGTTATAGGAGGTTTTTATGCTGAGACTTTCTTATACATAATATTGTTCATTGTACGATATACGTTTACATATGTATATTATGAAACGTTGTCCGACATTTATAAAGTTATAATGTATATTATATTGATGATGGAGCAGGAAAAAAAGATATAAACGTTTTTTCTCCCCAATTCTATCCCTATGTCCACCCTATCCCAGATCGTCGCTTCCTAGCTATATATTCAGTCGGATGACAACGGCGACGTCAACACCGTTCACCGACGAAGAAGCTACGTAAACTTTGATYGCTCGACAACCTCGTTCAGCAGAAGCCTGCACTATAAAGTACGTTTTGTATGAAAATAATAATCATGTCTATAATATAATATATTGTACATACCTACCAGTATATAGTTAACCTACACGTAAAACGAAATTTTAAGTAGCATACCAGTACTGATCACTAACGGTTGAAGAAATAACGACGTATATCATTTTTCAGTTATAATTTATTATTAATTAGTTTATTTACATGTTGATTAGAAAATTATTAAAAATTTTACAATATCTTTACCTTAAAATCATAGTTAATATTTATATAATAATATTAATTCAATTTTAATTAATTAATTTAGTTAGGTAATTATATATCGTTATATTTTCCCAAAACTGTTTTCTATTAATTGGTATAATTTGATTTAAATTCTAAAGTATATCGTCACGTTTTTCTTGTGGTATGCCACAATTCTTTGTATGCATTGAAAAAAATCAGAGTAACTTATTTTATATTCTGAACGGAGCGATGAATGTATTGATTTTACCATGATGTGTGTTTTTATTTTTTTTTTTTGTGTCTGTCATCACGTTTTGGGGCAGTAAAAGTGTTTCGATTTTTGAAAGTGAATCTAGTTGGTACTTTGGGGAGTCAAGAGTAAAAAATTATCAATATTTTTCAAAATAATCGGGATAAACAAACTAAAAATTAAGGGAAAAACGGAAAATTTTACACACAATCAGTTTTCGACAAAATCGATTTTGATTTTTGATGTAACTTAAAACAAATGACCATAGATACATGAATTTTTCACCAAATGTTTATATAAGTATATTCTATCCACCATGCAATTCAAGTTAAGTTGAACTATTCATAGGTATATGAGATTTTCGATCATTATTAGTTTTTTAAAAATTAATATCGATAAAAATGTATTTGTTGGGTAGATAAGCTTAAAAAATTAATACAAGACGCTTAACATATTGTTACAATAGCAGTTGAAAAATAAAAGAAATGCATAGTTAAAATTTTTTTTCAACAAACATTCAAAGTTTGAATTACGACAACTTATGGAAAAACTAAAATCACGAAATTCGTAAAYTATTTTACGCTAGAAATTCATAAAAAAAATTCATTTTATATCTAAGATTTYAAAATTTAATACAAGGCTCCTAAAATAATTTTACAATAGCAGTTGAAATATACAAGAAATAGGTAAGTACATAGTCACAATTTTTTTTTACAAGCATTCAAATTTTAATTTTGACAACATACGTAAAAATCACGAAAATTCTCAAATTATTTTAAGCCAGAAATTCATAAAAATTTTTCTTTTTAAACCTAAAATTTGAAAAATTTTAATAATCTATAATATATCCTGGACAGATAAACCGTATCCGCTCAGAATCGTTTTTCGTATACAATGATATTATATCAYTGGATTCAAATTTAATTCCATCCATTACAGTAACCTACTTGCAACCTACTGTAGTACTGTACAGCAGAGCGATGACATCTACTTTCCCGCTTTTTTTTATATGTACATTTCTTTTCTTTTATTAGCCGCCCTTATTGCATTACCAAAATCTTCAAAACCAATGTTTTAAAGATAGTTCAACTTAATGGTGAAAACTATCGGCTGACCTAAATGTGTGCCCTGCTTCAAAATTATTAAAAATAATTTCTTGGTCACAAATATCACATGAGCCAACTATGCATACTTACCAAAAATTACAATAAAGTATAAACACTAGTTCTTATTAATTTATCGGGTTAAATTACTCGATATGTGTCATCTATTAAATATTGATATAAATATAAATTTGTCAGTTTATTACCACAAAAATCATCAAGAGCCTCTACTTGACCATTGAGATAATGTCTTAATACCTCTATAGAACTCTATCATTTCCTTTTTAAAGCTTAAGGTGGTCAAAAAGGGTTATTTGCATACTTGTATTTTATTACCTCGGTCATCAGCTATATAAAATTTTAAACTATATTTATGGTTAGTAAAGTAAGTGCTTTGTTTACGTGTTTTAACATCTACGCATTGACACGTACTCAATATGAAAACTACATTCTATCCAAGTCATATCAATATTGAAAATTCACATCAGATCGTCTGTCTTCTGTAATTTTTTCAAAGCACTGTTTTTTACAATTTTCTTTATCACGGCCTGGCAACACTCTATGTTGATCTTTTTGTAAGTCTAATTTTATTTTTATATAAATATACCCCCATAAGGCCAAAACTAATTTTTGGGTGCGTCACTGCGGTATCCTTGTATAATCCTATTAGTATTTATTAGTATTATTTATTAAATAGGTACTGACTTTCAACTAGTTTGTTAAAAAATTAATATTTATTATAATTTATTTATTTTATAGATTAGCTGTAATTATTATTGTTATTAAAAGTATTGGTTTGCTATTCTTGAAGTAAACATAGAAAAATAGTATGAAATTGTTATGAAATTCACTAATATATCCTGAAGTAGATATAACAAAATCATTATACTGTAGGTATTCATTTTTATTTATAAATAAATTATAATATTTAAATTACTGTATTAGGTATGCCTATAGATCTATGATTTACTTGCCATTTACGTAATCGGTTTGTTATTATTAGAGATTAGACTATATATCTGATATCAATTTAAAACAAAATAATAACTAAATTTATAAGCATAGACGTGTAGCTATCAATATATTCATGCATATAAATAACTATTTWAAAAAACGATCAGAATTCTACAATAGTTTCTAAATATTCAAAATCCTAAATTATGCAACAAAATATAAATAATAAGCAACATGCAGGAAAAAACGATCAGAATTCTACAATAGTTTCTAAATATTCAAAATCCTAAATTATGCAACAAAATATAAATAATAAGCAACATGCAGGAATAAAAATAGTAAAGAAAATTTCAAACACCCTACTAACGCAATAGTCAACGTAAAACAAATTTTAATTTAACAAATGTGTCTTAACCAAAATTCTATTTATAAGATTAAAAGTAAAATTATCATATAATTTCAATTTTAAACAGAATTTTTAAAGATTCTAAATAATAATTATACGAGTATATTTTATCCGTTAAAATATAGAATTTTTCTACTATTATAAACAATTCATTAGGTTAAGTTGGTAAAGGGATAGTAAAAGAAAAAAATAATGACTGGTTATGTGTATTAAATTTGATACATTATTAATATATTTTTTGAACAAATAAGAATTGTATACCTGTCTTTTATTATACGTATGCAAAATATATATACTTTAGACGACTTTATTTTACAGTATACATGTAGCTCATAGTTATATCAACGTATTTTATGCTTATATAGTCATACGTTATAATATATAATTTACAAAAAGAGGCAAGTTTAAATTATAGGTTCCGGTTCGAAAAACAAAAGAAAAAGTCATCAGTGTCCCTGTGCATGACTTATTAGATATTCATCACTTAGTACTTTAGTAGAACCTTGGGAACCTTTATAATGAAAATCAATAGAATCATTGTTAAAATATTTACGTATATGAACATTATGAACAGAGCCAACTTCAGTTGTCCGTGTGGTTTCAATTGAGTTTCCAATATGAAGTTCTCAATTAATTTCGAATGTTGGTACCAAATAAAAGCGATGACAATTAGAAATATGCTCATTAAACGGAGGGAAATCAAAAAAACAATGTCTGTGAGTAAATGAAATTTTACTATTAAAAATATATATTAACATAGGTGCAATTTCAATAAAATAAAAACCAAGGGTGCTTAAGCTATGTATCTATTTTATCATTTTAGTTTTTTTTTTTTTWATAAGTTTGATACATAAGCACAAACATTATTTGAGGGTACTAATTTAAAAATTGGTGGTGCTAATACCCCCCCCTAAGCCCCGATATTTGCGTCTATGTACATTAATAATAAATTATTAATACTTTATAAATAAATCATTAAAATAAATTAATGTTTTTCAGGAAATCGCGATTCCAGTGTACACTTTAGGGCTTTTAGTTGCGATAAAATTGTTGATACCCAATCCTTATTTTCCACCAGTAACAGTACCTCGAGAATCTCCAGATATGTATAACTATTTGTATGGAAATATAACTGTAGCGCCATCAACTAAACACGTACAGGTAAACTTTATAATTTAATGAATGGATATTAACTTTTGTTTAATTATATAAATATATCTATATAACATTATCATATATGTATATATTATATAGTTAGTTGTTGAATGATAATGTTTTAATTTAACGTGTAACCAAATTATAGATTTTTTTAGAAAAAATGAATGAAATTTGGATGAAACGAGATGGAGAGAACATTAATTTTAGTGTTTATCAAAACAAAGAAGATATATTTGAAATACAGCGAAATAATCCGGAAATGGTTTACATAGCCTTATTATTCGACGACGATCCTATTAAAAATCACTCGATAAGGTTTTATATGGCTATTATTAATAATAATAACGTACCTATGTGGTTATTCCTTATGTTATATTTTTATCGTATACCTACCAAATGTATATATTATCTGATGGAATAAACTAAAACTGAGCTAAATGTTCATACATTTCGTATAACATGGATCACACGATAAAATATTTTATTAAAACAAAACATAATTGTATTTATTATTACAAAAAATAATACGTTTCAAAAAAATAACTTGGCACAGTAGTTACATATTTTTGATGAAATATTTGATTTAATTCTTCATATTCTTCAAATTATTTATAGCAACTATATTAATTAATCCACATTTGTATAATTTTGTTTTAGCTATAAGATCCKTACAAATCCGTTTTATGATTCATCGCCATCACCGTCTAAACTTCATGGATCCAGCCATCAATGTCGAAAAGTGTCAGCTAATAAATTAACGAAAAAGTTTCTCTATCGACATCACCATAATAACAATCAGCACGATGAAGAAATAACATGTCCAGCTATTCATTACATATACTCAGGATTTCTAGCCCTTCAGACTTTAGTTGATATTACTAAGATTTCTCTGGTCACTAATTCATCGATAACATTACCAGATTATAGTTTTGTACTTTTTCCTAAACCAGCATATACAGCAAGTAAGTGTGAATTGTTTTTAGTTTTATTTAGATAATTCTATTTTAATAATAATTGTAAAATCAAAATTATTTGCAGATTGGTTAATGGTATTTCATATGGTTATACCTCTTTATGTAGTGATTGCTTTGTCACAATTTATCACATATCTTTTAGTACAGTTAGTTGGTGAAAAAGAAAGAAAAATAAAAGAAGGTATGGAAATAATGGGTCTTAGAGAATTGGTATTTTGGTGTTCATGGTTCAACATCTACGCAGCTTACGCTATAGTACTATCATTAGCCAGTACTCTAATATTATACTTACTTGGAGTTTTCAATAACACTAATTGGGTATTAATATTTCTATTAGTGTTTTTGTACTCAATTACAGTTATTTTCTTCAGTTTTATGATTTCTCCATTCTTCGATAAATCCCGAGTAAGTACTTACCTGTTCCTTATAGTATCAGTGGCGTATAGTTACGATATCCGTAATATTGGAACAAATTTTTAAAAAATTAGCAAATTTATTTTAACCGTTATTTTAACTTATCCCAAGATTGTTATTGTTTATTTTAAAAATTTCAATAATGTCACCTGATATTTTATGATTTTATGTTCGTTAAAAATAGCTGAGACTTCAATCACTCAGTTTCTAGCAATTATTTACTTTAATTAAATGATTTAAAAGTTTTTATACCCTCTTATAGTATCAAACAATATTAATCATATAAATCTATTTGTTAATCATAATAATTTATTAAAATTATCATTAAATTATTGATATATGAATTAGTAAGGGATGGTTTACATTTCATAAATATCTTTCCGAGAAAGTGTATCTTACTTATGCCACTGACCTGAACTATTGACATCTACACCAAATTAAAATAAATGATTATTTTTTTAGACGGCTGGAATACTGGGAAATTTTGTACTGAATTTGATAAGCTTAATGTATTTTTTGCATACTTTTATCGACCCGTCAAGTAAAAAACTACTGTGGCTAGTATCTTTATTAAGTCCATCTGGTTTTGCATTAGCTGTTGATAAAGCTATGCAAATGGATTTGACTGGTGAAGGCCTTCATTTTAATAATATTTGGGATGGTCCAGGAATGTCATTTGGCGAAAGTTTAGTAATAATGGCATTTGATACGCTTGTCTACATGATTCTAGCATATTATTTTGAGATGATTTTGTCAAGCCAATATGAACGAAATCGATCTCTTTGGGTTTGTTTCAAAACTTCATTTTGTAGTACCAAACTTCCAGAATCCATAGAATTTGATGAGATCGATAGATATTCCGTTGCAAATCCTGACTTAGAACCTGTACCAGATTGTATGAAAGAGTTTAAGGCAATTCAAATAACAAACCTCTGCAAGTCTTTCAATGGATCAACAAAAAATGTTATAAATGGTAAATAAGTTACTTAATTATATTATATATTAATATACCTACATATAATATAACACATGTAATTATGTATATATTTATAATTTATATATAATATAATATCTTTAATTTATAAGATTGGGCAATACAATTTATTTTATCAATAAATAAAATTGTCCTTATTTAACTATTAATTCTGATTTCAGGTATTAATATGACAATATACGAAGGAGAAATAACTGCTATCTTAGGACACAATGGTGCTGGAAAAACAACGTTATTTAATATACTGACGGGACTCACTGAACCAACATCAGGCACAATAAAAGTATTTGGTTATGATGTTAGAAATCCATCTGATGTGACTAAGATTAGAAGAATGATTGGGGTTTGTCCACAATATGATATATTGTTCGAACGGCTTACTCCAAGAGAACATCTAAAATTCTTTGCCACTCTTAGAGTAAGTAATACTTACTAAGTAAACATGCATACCTGATTAACATAGAACGTTAAAATTCTACCAATGACCACGTAAAAATAGCAAACCACTATGCATACACTAWACAGAATAATTTGCACTGATTACTGACATGGTTATTAAATTTGTTAAGGGACTGACTTCAGAAAAAATTGATGAAGAAGTTCAAAGAATGCTTTTAGAACTTTATTTAACAGACAAAGCAGATAATATAGCAAAAACTTTAAGTGGAGGACAGAAACGAAAGTTGTCTGTTGGTATTGCAGTAATTGGAAATCCGAAAATCATAATACTCGATGAACCTACTGCAGGTGTTGATCCACCAGCAAGAAGACATTTATGGTCACTTCTCCAAAAGAGAAGAAAAGGAAAGGTACTTACTTTTATAACTAATAAATCTGTATAAGAATTTATTTTAATATATAAAAATATGTACATATGTAGGTAATATTGTTAACAACCCATTTTATGGACGAAGCTGACATCTTAGCTAATCGTATAGCTGTTATATCAAAAGGTTGTGTAAGATGTTGTGGTTCATCTATATTCCTTAAAAATAAATTTGGTATTGGATATCATTTAACGTAAGTTTAATAATTGAAATCATAAGGTACCAATTTTGTGTAGGTATAATATTTCCAAAACCTTTTATCAATATTTAGTATTTTCCGTACAATTTTGAACTGATAAATCTATTATTGTTTAACACTATAACCAAAAAAATTGATTTATAACAAATATAAGTATTATATATATATATATTTATATATTATAGCAATTTGAGAATAATAATTGCAAATTTATTTCCGCGAATATATCTTGTCTATATTATTAAATACTTTCAAGCTATTTTAATTAGTGAATAACTGATATTCATAGACTGATTCTCAATAACCAATCAAAGGAAAATTCCATACTAAAAATGATTAAAGAACATGTACCAAATGCAGAACGAGCACGACGCCATGGCTATGAATTATCTTTTGTACTACCATATGACAGTGTGAGTAAATTCCCGCTTCTGTTTGGACAAATTGAAACAGAAATTAAATCTCCAAATAATGACTTGGGTATTCAAAACTATGGTGTATCAATGACTACGTTAGAAGAAGTATTTTTGTATCTTGAACAAGGCGAACATAATAATGCTGAGAAGTTAGCAATTGAACTGTTAAAAGGGCAGTCGGTAACAGATTTTAATAGGTAATTGATTATAAAATATAATATCAGTGATTTATAATAGCTAATAAGTTATAAATTAATAATTACAATACTATTATTATAACCAGGCCAGTAGGCGACAATTTAGCACTTTAAATAACTATGATCAAGTAGGTCAGGCACGTAACTAGACATTTTTCTATAAGGGGGCCAATATTTTTTGGCCCCTTTCTGTTTTTTGTACCCAATACCWCTCCTCTCCTTATMAGACAATATCTATAAAAAATAATACTAMATTTCACAATGTATTGTCTGTATTAGTTAAGCATTATATTTTTGTTATTTATTAATATAGGTATACAATATACATCTTAAAAAAACTAAACTATATTAGGACAAGTCGTCTATTTCTATGGTTCGCTGCTTTGTGCTAAGTCTCTAACTCGATAGATAATAATATTATATTGGGACATACAGGGGCGGTGTGGGGAAAAAATTCAGGCCAGGAAAATTAAGTTCCTCCAGGCCACCCAAAATTTTCATCTCCTGGTTAAAAATWGTATTTTATCTAATTTTGTATGTAAATATACGTATATAGGCAGGAAAACAACAAATAGGTATTAAAATTATATATTATAGTGTATGTATTTTACAAATAAAACAATTAACAAAACTATAAAACAGAAATAAAATTAGGTACACAAACCAAAATAATAATAAATCATAATATGTTCTAATGAAATTAAAATAATAATAATTTATTATAATTTAAAATATCAGAATAATAAAGAAATAATAATTAAATTCGATTTCGTCTTCGTATATAGATAAATAAACTCTTTCATTACCTACTCTACATTTTTTATTTCTATCTATACTTTAGGTAAACGGGCCAATTAGCTTCCAGGCCACCCGGAATTTTCAGTATCCTGGTGGGCCACTCCGCCCCCGGGGACATAATTTTGTTAGGCATGTTTATTTTATTATACGATTACCATATTGGTCCACTATTATATACAGTATTGTCTGTAGTTGTGTTTATCAAATGTGCGTTCGATACCCGTATTTGGCATTCCTAGATTTCAATTTATTAATAGATGTCTTATTGTCTATCTTGTATTATTGACGAATATTTTTAAAATTTCGGAATTTAATTTTTGTTATACGATCGTTAACTTAACTATAGGTATTATGGAGTACCATATAATATACAATTAGGATTTAACCGGCTTGGGACAATTAAATTACACACCATAATATTTAAAAATAAAAATCAAGGGGGCCAATCCGGGGCCACTGACATTTCTTAGGAGGCCAGGCCCCCTAAGGTCCCCCCCCCCTTGGCAAAGTAGGTATAGACGTTTAATCCTAACGAACATTTTTAAAAATGTATCTAAAATATAATAACTAAATAGAAAAATAAAATGTACTTGGAATTTTAGAATCTCTGATGTATAGCTATAGCTTACTCTTACCCTATTTTTGTTTGTATCCTATAATAATTAATAAATGCTATAAACATCGAGCCCTAGCTGTTCTCTGGTTATAAGTTAGTTATTTTTTTCATACGTAAATGTTGTAGTTCATATAATGTAGTATAGTGAATATGGTCCATAATTTCTAAAAAAAAATTCCTTTAACTTCAGAGGATCAATTGATACAATACATAATGTGACGGTGAGATCAAGTATAATATACGATCCAACTAATTGGAGTACAATAATTGCCCTTTTAAAAATGCGAACCAAGAGAGTATTACGAGATGTTCATAAGCTATACGTCATGATATTATTACCTGTCGTATTCTTAGCGACTGGAATTATCTTGAACAAATTAAGTCATGAAATTCAGCCAATACGAAGTATCACTTTAAATAATGGTATGTATACATATAGCTGTTATTTTTTTAAATTTACAATAGAATTTTTAAACATATTTTAATTCTTATGTTTTTATTTGGTAATTTCCAAAACAAATCTAATAATAGTTGGATTGCATATTGAAGAATTTAAATGAATTGAATATAAAATTTTTTAAATTGAAGTAAAATTTTGTAAATGTTGATATTGTGTAGAAATTAGAATTTATAAACATATTTAGTCAAAATAACCATGCGCTTGTAATCATGTAATAAAATTGGACACGTGGAAGTAACACTAATAACTCGTCATATTAATTATTAATAGTACATAATATGTCATATATATATACGAGTATATATAAATTATATAATATAAAATATAAATATATTATAATGATTTATTTTAAATATTTTATTTTATTTAAACTTAATTTTTTTATTTATTTTAATATTACGTTTTTAAACAACTTCTAGATGTCTATAAAGAAGAAAGTCGGCTAATCGTAACTTCGGAAGAATTATCAAATTATTCAACACTAGATTCAGACATTTACGCTGGCACATTTTCTGGATTATTAGATTTGTCTCCTCATTTAGGAGTCCTGCGAGAGCGGCAAACACAAAATATGACTTATTCATCAATATTAGCACTTACGATATATTATAATGACTCATGTATACATTCATTGCCAATAATATTGAATTCTATCACTAGTACTTTACTTGGGTAAATTTCATAAAAATATCTTATAAAATATTGATACCTACCAACTAATTTATTTTGCAAGACTTATACTAATTATTTTTATTACAGGTCATATATAGTAGAATAAATTATAGTTATATTACATAATAATTTTATATTTTAATTTTGTATTTAAAACAACGGGGTGGCGGGGTGCTTCTCTCCTGCTTAACATAAAAAGCGATCTAATAATATAATATAATATAACATATGTTTATAATTTATATCCACTTGTATGACCTATATGAGTATATGGCAGATACTAAACAGTATCATATTGATCGAGTGCAATGTGTCTCATTTTTTAATATTTAAATTCATTTTATAGAGATCAAATTGATATCAAAACAGAACCGTTTAAAATGGAATACAAGCAAAACGAGTACAGCTTTAGTCGTTGTTCATCTGCATTCTTCTTAGGCATAGTATTTGTTTTAGTTCCTGTGAGTTTATCTGCTGATCTAGTTTATGATAGAGAGGTAATAACCAATTAAGTTAATGCATAAATTATTATATTTTATTCGTATTTTATAGATAAATTTTAATTGTTTTTAAAATAAATTATGCATTGGGATTAAATTAGGTACACCTACTATATTCTAAATTAATTGGTATTTAATTTAATTTTCAATGTTTTTACAGTAAAACTTTACTTAATGTCTAATGATTCGTGAAATATTTAAAATCAACATAAAAGTATAAAAACAAAGAAACTATTAATTATCATTAGATAGCAGAAAAAATATCTCCAAGTACCAATAAGATTTAATATTTTGTTTTTAATTTTAATACTGAAAAATATGTCAATATGTGAAGTTTTAAGATTGTATTTTTTTTTACATTTTATAGATTAAAGCCAAAAACCAGCTTCGTATCAACGGTGTAACTTTTATGCAATATTTCATTTCATATTTTATTCTTTTAATTTCAATGTTACTTGGCATATTCTTTATACTAATAATTCTTATCGCTTTATTCCATGTTGAAGGTTTGGATACTCCTTTCGCAATAACAACTATGATAATATTAATTATAGCATATTGTCCAGCAGCAATATTAGCTACTGCGTGTGTATCATATTTTTTTGAAAAAACTGATTCAGTGCAGTCTATACTACCAAATATAACGTCATTAATTGGCGGTGTACCGTTCATAATAGTAGCTTCACTAGATATGCTGGGTATTGTTAGTGATTTAGGATTTGCTCTTCACGTTCTGTTTTCTTCAACGAATTTCGTCTACGTTCCTTTTGCCATAATTTACTTCATAAATAGTGTATATCGAGAAAACGATGATCATGCCCCTTTTATAAAATATGTCAATAAAGAAATAGTTGCAATTTTCATGGGTTGCATAGGCCAGATACCAGCATTATGGGTAATTTTAAAAATATTAGATTCTAAATCAAAAAATAAAAAAATTTCAAAAGTTACTATTGATACTCAAGATGAGGGTGACAGTGATGTAAAAGCTGAACGGGCAAAAGTAGATAATATTGTTAACGATCAAGTGGATTGGCCAGTAATTGTTGTTCAGGTATTCAATGCTTAAAAATCATAACTATTATTTCAAACTCTATTTTTTGGTCTTTTAATTTTATTTAGAATTTAAAAAAAGAGTTCACAACTCAAAATATGAACTCAAGTATAAATTGTCTAATAAAAAAAAAAAGAACAAATACAATTAATGAGAGAAAACTTGCAATCAGAAATCTATCGTTAGCTGTAAATTCAGGAGAAGTTCTTGGATTACTAGGTCATAATGGTGCTGGAAAAACCACAACTATGCGTATTATCACCATGGAAGAAAAAGAATCAACAGGAAAAGTTTGTAAAAATTTAACACTCTTAAAGCCAATTTGATTTTAATTTATGTGGTACATTTTTAAAAATGTATATATATTTTTACTATCTTATGTTTAAGATATTTATTAAAGGACATGATATTCAAGAATCTGTAGATATTGCATATAGAATGATTGGATATTGTCCTCAACATGATGCCTTATGGAGTTCTTTAACAATCAGAGAGCATTTACGGATATATGGTACTATTCGAGGAATCTCAAAAGATCAAATTAAAAAGTAAATTATTATATTAAAATCTTGATAAAAATAAAAATAAACTTGGATAAATATTTGTGGAACTAATTATAATTGCAAAAATATTATAGTGCAACTTTATACATTTTAACTGTTATTTWAAAAAAAAAAAATGTATTTTTAACTTTTAAAAAGCATTTTTCATTTTTTTTTTTTAGTATTGTTGAGAAATATATTGAAGGCCTTCAAATAACTGAACATGCAGATAAACAGGTCAGTTGTTGTTCAGGCGGAACAAAACGAAAATTAAGTTTTGCTTTAGCAATGATTGGAAACCCTAAACTGGTATTGCTGGATGAGCCTAGTACTGGTATGGATCCAAGGTCAAAGAGATATTTATGGGATGCTATAATTAGCAGTTTTCAAGGATCCAAAGGTGCAATATTAACCACACATTCTATGGAAGAGGCAGATGCGTTGTGTTCTAGAGTTGGAATAATGGTTAACGGCCAACTCAGGTAATCTTTTTTATATATTTAGATTTTTTACGTTTAATACCTTTTTTTTTAAACAATTGATAGATGTTTGGGTTCTACTCAATATTTAAAAAACCTTTATGGCGCTGGATATACATTAGAAATAAAATTAAAGCCGCATGGAGACATGGATGATGTTAAAAGTTTTGTCAKAACATCATTTCCAAATGCGATTCCTGAAGAAGAATTTGCTGATCGATTAGTTTTTGGAGTTCCTCAATCTACAGTTGAATCATTAGCACATTGTTTTTTAAATCTTGAAAATGGTATTTAATTTATAAGTTATCATTTTAGTAGGATTTCATTAATCCCTGTTTCGATACTAAAAAAAAGACTCATACCCATGCTAACATTCCACTGAATAATATATTTACATTTTACACACATCTTTAAGTAACGTTGTAGCTAGAATGGGAAGAAATTGTCACCCGCAATATGAAGATTGGAATCATATATATAACTTTATTGAGTAACATGTAATAAATATTTTAGTTTTTGTTAAACTAGAGAAAAAATTAAGTGCCCCCCTCCCGCCCACAAAAAAAAAAAAAAACAAAAAATTAAAATTAAAATTAATATCTGGCTACACAATTAATAATAATAACTTTATTTCAGAAACATTAGATACAATCTAAATTTTAATATAATATTTTTTTCTGACCAAACCTATAAGTAAATTTGTTTTAGGTTTGGATGAATCTTAGTAACAATGGAATAATAATAACAGAAAAAAATATAATAATAATAAAAAAAATAAAAAAAATACAATAAATTACAGGTTGCTATATTCTGAATTGTGTTAAGTTGTATATCACAGTAATCACACTTATACTAGATTAGGATCATAGTAAAAAGTGGTTCCTCAATCAATTCGTGGTTTAAAAATAAAAAACAGGTCAAGTAAATAACCACTCTGCTGTAAGTTAGTCACTATTGTCATTGAGTAGGTAACCTAACCTGGTACAGTCACTGAAATAAGTGAGTAAATTAGAATTATATTATAAATGATTGTGTATAAAATACGATTCTGAGGTCTCCACTCACTCTGTATGTATTATACTTTAGTCAATATTATTGGCATAATAGTGTTTTATTTTACTATTGTATATTATATTAAACCTAGTAATACCATTTAATCATCATTTCTAATCATTATTTTAAATTAACATAAAAAGAACTAAAAAGTAGGAAAGTGGGTATCGCTCTGCTGTATAATAATAGTGATGGAGAGCAGGTCACTATAAGTCTATAATTTATGTGTTAAATTTGGATGCAATGACAGATATCATTGTATACGAAAAACGATTCTGAACGTAGATGATTTGTCAGTCTAGGATATATTAGATTACCTACCTATATTTAAATTATAATATATTTTTATACACTCACAAAATGTTTTCTATATTGACTCTGGAGTTTTTTCATGATTCCATCCAAATTTTCGCAATTTCGACATATTTTGTAAACATTTGAACTTTAAATGCTTACGCTTTTGAACACTACTGGAAATTTACTTTTACCCCCCCCCCCCCAAGTACCTACTAGATGAATTTTGCTTTTCAAAGAAGAACTGAACTTCTGATGTCAAAAATCAAAGCATTATTTCTATTCCAAAACGTGATGACAAACACAAAAAAAAAACATACATCATTGTAAAATCAATACATTCATCATTTCGTTCAAAATCTAAAATATTAACTTTAAAAAAAAAATTATCCGCAATAAATCTCCTTTGGTTCATTTTTGTGCATAATATAATACATTGTTTAATAATAAAATAAAATTACCTGTACATTTTGTGTAGTAATATAATTGATCACAGACTCACCAGGAGCTCACAAAAAAAAAAATGTATTAATTAGTTGAATCTGGTGCACCTATCTACTTTAAACCATTGTCCATTAGTCATTACCTAATAAGTAATAAGTAATGGATATAAGATACCTTATGTATAATATTAACTTTACTTTTGATTTTACAGCAAAAACTATGTACGACATTCAAGAGTATAGCTTCAGCCAAACAACTTTAGAACAAGTATACTTGAAATTTGCACATTATGAAGATAAAGAAGTATTGGAAAACATTACAGTTTAAATTGAATCATTCAACTGCGCTTTTATCAAAATACGTATAAGTACTTAAGTTTAAATTTTAACTGTTTAAGTTTTGGAAGTTGTGTCACTGGACGCTCCTTTCTCTCAAGTTTTTACGTCTTGTAACTATCATCACATTTACTTAACTTATAAATTTCTTTTATAATATATATTATATATATACATATATAAAAAAAAAAATTATTTAGATCGAAAAGTTTTTGTGTGATATGATAATTAATTTATATTATAATTAATAAATTATGAATTATAAACTTAAAGATAAAGTATTTATAAATTTTGAATACTTCAGCTCAAGTGATTTCAATCACGCATTTCGAATTATGAATTATTAATATTATTATAATAAAAAATTGTTTTAATATATTATATATATTTATAATTAATGATCAAATTATACTAGTAAAAATTAAAATAAATAAGTTTTTGATAGAAATGATATGTGTGTCATAACCATATTATAAGTATAATATTATATGGCATTTGGCCTTTGCTTATAGATGTAATAAAAGTATTGTTTTCTCTAGTATTGCATAAATTATTAATCTTTATTTCATTAAACATTTTACCAAAGTTTTGTTCTGCTCTAAAAGATGATGAGCATTGACTCCATTGGCGATGAGAGACACAAAAAAAATATACATGAAAAAAATGCACACAGGAGACAGGAAACAATATTGCTACACGGTCCACACAGACTCTAAAAAATATTTTTGACTCCTCGTACTACCCACTAAAATATCACTGAAATATTATGTGTACATTTATTGTACTCTAATCGGAAGTCGGCGGAACCCAGAACGGCAGTCAACAATACTCATTAATATTTTATAACTAATAAGTTGGTATATTAAAATAATCATTATCCATTAACTCGTTTTATTATTATAGTAATCACCTATCTATCAATTTATTTTTATTTAAATAATATAATTGTTTTTGAATTTAATGTGAAAAACAAAATATTAAAATAATGAATATTTTTTAATGTAGATATAATAATATAAAATTATATAATCCAATACTTTATATTATTACTCGAGTAATATTGTTATTATCATAATCTACGATTTTATTCTACATTTATTCTACATAATATATATATATATATATATATGATTAAGTTCGTGACCCTAAATTATTATCATTGATATTGTAATGGTTTTAACAATTTTTACAATAATACAAATGGATGCCGTTATATTCAAACTTTAAATTAACCGTCGTGGGAACTCCTAAGCCGTACGCCCGTAACTGATATTGTAGAATTTAGACGTATGTATAAATAAATAATAATATAATAAAAACTATAGTAATATCTCATTAGGTTCAACTACTCTATAATATAAGGAAGCATTAGCCATTAAGTCTATAGGCCCAACACACCACAAGTATTAACGACAAAACATAAATAAAAAAAAAAAACCACTAAAATATAATATTATTAGAATAATAAATAATATATTATTATAATTTATAATGCTTATCCATTAGGTCTATGGGTACCGTAAACCGACCGCTAGTCTGCGTGACAGTCGGCTGTTCGAAGCTCGGTAGCCGTTATTACCATAATAATATTAAGACATTATTACACACTAATGACTAGCTATTTGTAACGACTTATTACTATTATATTATTTAATATCAAATATCAATCGATTACCAAATAGTCATCAGTGATAGTGAATATTTTATAGTTAACTGGTAGCAAACTTGAAACTAGCAACTACGCCAACTAGTTAACAACTTTCGACTACATAGGACTGTTCCGACTACTGAATTAAATTTAGTTTTGCGCTTCCGAATATTCTGAGTTCAATTTCGATAGATTTCTGTCGAGTCTCGATCATAGTGCTGTAGCTGCACAAAATTATTTTATATATTGCTGAACAATTATGGAGGAACATTGCAAATCCCTAGCTTTACAATACGATTTGTTCGTCAATAGCACCCTCAAGTATTTAGACACGACAACCGAGAGAGGTAAGTTGTATAGGTATATAGCTTGTGAGGAATTTGTAGGTACTAAATACTATCCAATAATAAATTACGAACTTGAAGCACATTTATGATTCTTCGTGACAACGTACAGAAAACAATCGCAGTTTTATTACATAACTTATGCCTTTCATATTAAATGTTTATGTTTAGCTGCAATTGCTTACAATTTTTTATACATAAGAAAATCCTACATTTTTTAAACTAAACACATAGTGTTTCTAACTTTCTTATTACCTAGTTCTAACCTAATGGCTTTAAGTAATTATTTAGGTTAAAACAATTTTGATTAATGTACCAGACAAATTCAATACTGTATCAGTGTGTAATACTAAAGTGGATTTTATTCTATGACTAGAATCGTGACGGCAATGTATAAGTATATCATTATTGAGGATCTGATCTTAAAATCATTTTTGAATATTTCATTGTATCAAATCCAAAAAGTAGGTAGGTAGGTATTGATATATTGTGATAGAATTTTTATGATTTTGATTTTGTATGCGTTTAAAAATCAAAAGCACAGCATTCATACATACAACATTCATACTTTTAATACTGTAAACAAACTAAATCATAGCTATACTTTAGGTAATAAACATTTATTATATTTATGGAAAAATAGTAAATAAAGTTACCTCTAAAAAGTGCCATCCAAAATCTGTCTTATTCATAGAATTGTAGGCACTACTTGAAACTGAATTTATTTTTAAATTGTAACTTTATGAACTTAACAACTAACTTTCAGTCAATGAGTTTAAAATTATTAATAAATAAAAGCATATATATTAAATACCTATCTATATAATATGTATCTATATTATTTAGAAAAAATATATTTACCTTGATCATTAAAAATTAAATAGATAAGATTAATAATTGGTATTCACAATCATTACTTATATTAACTTTATATTTATTTATTTGGTTTTGTAATTTACGCTTGACAGGCAATTTTACTAGGTAAATATAATATAACAAGTTGAATTTTGAGCATAGCAGTTGAAATTATAAATGAATTATTTTTATAGATTACATGCTAAAATTAAAAGTCATCGATCAATTAACATATAGAATCAATCAAAGTGAATCTGATAAAGATATTATCAAGAGAAATCTAGAAGCAGTTCAAGATGAATGTTCCAAATTAACTTATAAACTTAAAACTTCTGCTCGTTTATTGGATGAAGTTCGAGCAGAAAGAGAAAAACTTGTCTTTGAAAAGGAAGCCATGGTAGGTACCTAAATAATACATAAGATTTTTATAATGTTTTAATTTTATATGGCAGGTTATATTGTTTTTTCATTTAACCAGCACAGGAAAATAGAGTGGTTGTTTTTGTAGATAAACATAATAATTTTGACTGTTACACAAATTTCATATATTTTGATATCACTTTTATGTTATAGAAATCTCAATTAAAGCAATTACACAATATTATGAAAAATCATGATATTATGGAAAAATCACATAATTCACTCTTAAATCATTCCGATTGTGTAAAATTGGACGAAAAAAAGACTTTTAATAACACTGGTAAATTAGCATTTATTTAGTAGTTAATTTAAAAAAACTAGTTATTACTTTTATGGAAGTATGGTAGTATTTTGGATTAAATATAATTCATTTATTTATAAACTTGTATTGTGAATTGAAAACTTTTTAAAATTATTGAATTAAATTAATTTTTAATAGCACCCTCTACCTGAATGTGTTGTCTCTTTTACTGTGTCTTACAGGTGAGGTTAGGTTATACTAGTAACAGTATAGTACATCATACATTCTGTATAATCCACTTAACTCTATTATGTTTGAACACACAATTTCCAATTTTTAAATGATCATCACTCGCTTTAATATAAAAATATATTTTTAAAACTAGATCACTTGATAATATTCTTACTTTTAAACTTTATTTAGGTCAATTCTGTCTAAAATTAAACATAATAGAGTAAAATAGATTATTTAGTACAATTTGGTATGTTATACATTTATAAGGAAACAACTCATCCGGGTGCAGTATCCTCATAATATAAAGTGCATATCTTGTTAAAATACTAATAAAGTAATAGATATATTATAGCATATGATTGATTTACTAAATTAATTTTTATTTAATTAATTACTACATGTTTATATCTTTTAGATGCTTTGTTATCAGATATTAGTTATAGTCATTCTGAAGATAGTTCATATGAACAATTATTGAAATATCCCAAACAAAATTCTGCACTCATAAAAAAGCATTCTACTGGCAATATTTTCAATAACTTGAACACAAAAAAATRTGAGGTAATTAAACAATTCTAATTCATAATACAGGAACCTATAACCTATAGGTGTATTTTTTAATGGGGCTTCTTAACAGTAAAAATCTAGTAGCAATTTAATTTTGTTTGCATCATGACAATTTTGATTTGGTTGCCAACATTTATAGTTTCATCTATTACACATTTATAAAAATGTTTCTCTTTTTTTGTTGATAAAATGAATACATTTTATATTATTTAATCATTAATTATTTTAGATTAAAAACTTGAATACTACTAACAAACAAATTATTGCTACAACTATTTTAACTATGGATTTGGATAGTATAAATGCAAAATCTGTTATAGAAACTTATCCAGCACAAACTTCAAAAGTTGCATTAGTATCATCATCGAACGGTAAACTTTCAATTTATTTTTAAAAAGGGTGTAATAAAGTTAAATAACTCCTATTTATATATAGATTCTACAGAGCCATTGTCTACCAGTGATTCTGAAATGGAAAATAATATAACTGAAAAAAAACACAATTTTATACAAAAAATGGTTGTCATTCCAGAAATGTGTGGTCACTGTCATAAAAAGTTTGTTAAAAATATCTACTGCTTTTATAATTAATTAATAAACAATTATCAATATTAAATTTTGATTTAATGCTAGAACTGGACATTTTTTTTTCAGAATAAAGTTTAACAATTATATGGTTAAATGTTTGGACTGTAAAATTATAACTCATMTGGAATGTAAGGATTTTATACCTACTTTATGTACAATTGATGAATTAAAAGTTATTGCTTCGAATGTCAGTAATTTATCATCATATATTTTTCTTTATTATATTATATTATTTTTACCGGCAGTGTGGTGTCCCACCTTTCATTGTTCACTGTATTAACGAAATTGAAAGAAGAGKATTGGATACAGTTGGATTATACAGGGTGTCTGGTTCTGATAAAGAAGTGAAAAGTCTAAGAGAAAAATTTCGTAAAGGTTTACCGAATTTAAAAGATATAGACATTCATGTATTATGTAGCTTTTTGAAGGACTTAATTCGTACGCAAGAAAATAATCTTATATCTCCAAGTGATTTATCAAAGTTGACTAATGCATTAAAAGACAAAAATGATGTTTCAAAGTCACTTTGTCAAGTCGTATCTGAATTGCCACATAATAATCGTATCATACTTGCATTCCTCATTCTTCATTTGCAAAAGTATGTTATTGTAATTATTATAAATGCTTATTTTTCCAAAATTATTCTAATTCCACATTTTTTTTAAGGGTTGCTCTTTCATCAAAATGCAATATGGATTATAAATGTCTAGCAATTGTTTTTGGACCTACAATCGTTGGTGTTACAAGTACTTCCTTAGATGAATTACATATTGAATCTGAAATTGTTTTTGAAGTAAGTGTCCTAGTATGTATGTTAATGATTTTTAATTTTAAACATTGACTAAAAACTGGAACAAACTGACAATTATTATAAGAAAATCAAATATAAAATATGATAGATATTATTTATTTAGGTTGTAAGAGAACTGCTAATGCTGCCTTATAATTTTTGGCTTAGTTCTTTGAAAACTAAAAGCATTTCTTCTGATGAACCGTTATATAGTACTCCCATCAAAAATCAACCGCAAACACCAGGAACATCTAATCGTTTTTTTTCTGCTGGGTAAGACAAATTAAAAGCCATTATTCATTTTATAATTTTATTATCTTATTTTATTTTTGGATAGACTAAAAAGACGGATATTAGACTCCCCCAAAAAAAATAAAATTGCAAAACAAGATAAGTTTTAAATCCAGCATTGAATTAAGAAAATAGTTAAAATATATTAATGTTAAAGTATATGTTACGAATGAATTAATTTTTTTTATGAATTTGACTTAAACACTAAACAGTTAATTTTTATTTTTATACAATTTTTATTTTACAAATTGTTATTTGTATTCCTTTACCTAAGTAATTTTTATTATTATTAGTTGATTAACATAAATTGGTGTATTAATTAAATGAAGTGCCATCTATTTTTTTTTCTGTAAGTAAATTTTAATCATTTTGTTTTAACAAAAAAATTGTTTTCCTTTACCTAAGTAATAATTTTTTATTTTGATGAACATTAACTAGGTATTGTATTTCTTAAATTAAATACTATCTACCTTTTGTGCAAGTATATTTTGATTCATATTGTTTTAATAATTATATATGGTATCTGTTTTAATGATATTTGTTAAATTGTCAAATAAATTTAATCCCAGTTAATTAACAGTTGGAATTTTTTTTTACATTGGTGTTTTTATTTTATTTTATTATTATCTGGTATGAAATTGTGTTGATTTGAAATAGGTTTTTGATTAGTATTTTTCAAATGGTGTATGATTGTACAAAATCAAGCTGATAAAGGTTGTACCTTTTTTAGCATCACTGTAAAAATTTAAGAATACATAAAAATTCCTTAACAACAAAATTTTAATGATTTCATTCTCAAAAACAAAATTTGTATAAGCAAGCTTGCTTGGCAAAGTTCCTTGAATCCTTTATTAGCATACATATTTTAGTATTATTAATTTGAACATTATAATTTAACATTCAATAATGATTCTGTCTATGGTATCGGGAAATATAGTAATTTTTTCTTCAACAAAAAAAAAAGTATGCAATTTTACATTGCTAATTCTTAGGTCAGATCTAAACACAGTGTTTTCTATAGCATATCCCGTTGAAGTCAAAACGCATTGTTTTATATTAAGTAGCTATACATGATGGATGTTATATACCGCATTTCAATCCACGGCAAAAAATGTGACGGATACGTTTTGTATAGCTGGTGAGTCAGAAAACGCATTGTACATACTTTTGTATGACAAACAAAATGATTTTAATTGATGTAATTAGTTTAAAAAAAAAAATATTGAATATCTTAATGTATTTAAAATATATTGATATTATGTAAGTATAAATTAAATTGGTCTAGTATAATGTATAAAAATAATTTAATTTAATTTACTTGATTTTACGGAACGTGAAATTAAGTCTAATTTTTTTTGCATTTTTTTCTTTGGGAATCGAGTGAAACCAATATTCATTTGTAGGCTGATTCATCATTAAAAGACTACCGTTATGTAAGTCTAATTTTACAAGTTCTACTTGTCTTATCTTCTTCCGTACATCGGTATGTTTAAGGACAAATTTCCTTGTTTGGCCCAAAGATACAGATGCAATGGGTACTGTTTTGTCCAATTCTACTTCATCATCCCTGTGTTCGCCCATATGATCTTCTCCATTTTTATACCTTAAAATGTTGATCATGAAATAGGAATCGATCAGATTAGTCTGTAATACTTCTTAATTTGCTGAATTGTTGATCAGCAAATTAGATTGTGCCCATGAGGACATAACTTCCATCTATATTGTTATTTACCTGTTGACTAAAACGAAATTGTAATCAACCCCACGAGCGGTGCAAATTTTATTTTTCAGATCATAAAGCGGTTGTGGCCACGTTTGCGCCGGTACAACTGTACCAGAAAACTTGTATGATACGCCAACGTCGCCGAACGCAACTTGCTGCCTGGGTATGGTATAATACTGTCCGAAAACTTTCACTTGCGAAAGTCGTCCGTCGAAGTAACTCACGTTGTTCTCCATGTAATTCAGAAGATTGGCGCTCTCGGCCGTTGTCAAAAATCTCTCGCAATAATCCAAATCTAAGTTTTCAGCAACGATTTTTCGCCACTGTGACAGTTGTGCGTTTTTCATCAGTTTTTCGTATAGAGTAACTGCCATGGTCATCAATAGCCGAATGATTAGATGATTAATCGACAGACCGTATTAAGCGGAAGTTCGGGATTGCGTTGAAAATGACGTTGAAATACAAGATTAAAATAGAACATTCTGATTTTTGTAGATACTTACAAATTTCAAAAACATTTTTATCAGTAAGCGATAAGAGTGTTGTTTAAAAGCCCGGCAAACCGGGCAAACTGTGTTTTTCATTGGTAATATTAATAATATTAATAATATCTATTTAGTCATGGGTAATAACCATTGACATATTAATATGTCTATGGTAATATCATAGAACAGTAATGGTAATATTAAATCATCTATGGTGGTTTTTTCGTTGTTTTTTTTGTGATAAAGATCTAAATTGATAATTGATAATATGAGTTGAGTCAAATTGTTTTTTAAAAAATGTAATAAAAAGTTATAGATTTGTAAGCAATTATGTATTATGAATTTTATGATTATTATTATTTATTACATTTATATCTTAGGTAGTAGATACATTATAATGAATTAATCATAAAAATAATTTAACTCATTAACTCGTGGGGTTATTATTGTATGTACATAGAGCATCGTTGTACATCGAATATCGAATTTTGTGTATTTTTTATTTTCACACAAATWGTATTCGATGGCGCATTCAAATAAAATTAAAGCACTGTTATCTGATTTGGGCAGATCAACTAAAAGAGGTGTAAAAAAATGTCCATCGTGTGGAACATACAATGGAACAAGAACTGTGGTATGCAAGACGTGTTATTTATTGTTAAAACCAAACAATAAAAGAGTTTCGCCGTCTGAAGTGTGTCGTCTACTTACACCTTCTTCGTCACGGGTATATTAATCACTGAAACTGTTAAATCAAAAACATTATGGAGTTTAAATATTTCAGATTTTTTCTTACATATCTTCTGAAAATATTGATTTTGAAGAAAGAGGATTCATCCACTTTCCAGATTCTAAAAACGAAGAAATCAACAATCTGGATACTGGAATTTGTTTAGTTCGTTCTTGTGGTGGTCGTTTATTCGATAATAATATTCTGCAGTGTCATGCAAGTTTAATTATAATAGTATTAAAACTATCATGAATATATCTTGTTTGATATTAATTAACAAATTATTGATACATCTGAATTTGAGTTTTTTTTAGTTTTTCTTTTTTATTATTGAGTACTTAACATATTTTTAAATATTTGCCAGCTTATTTCAAACAATTTATAGATTCTTTTCAAGAATTTACAATTCTTATTTATAGAAATTTAAAAATATTTAAAAACTATATACTATGTAATACTATGTTTATGAGTTTAAAAACTAAAAAATGCTTGCAAATGTGCATAAAAAATATATATGCCTTTAAAACAAATACTTAAGGCATTATATAACTTCTTAATAGTTAATATATTGTATTAGGTATTCATTATTTAATAAAAATACACTAAGGGGCATTCTTATAATGTCCGGTTAAAGTTAACGGACATTGTAAGAATCGTCCCAAACATGTTTATAATATTAATAGAATACATTTCATAATGTAAGTTGTGATACCAAAAATAATACCTTCCAATAAGTATTGGTAAGCATATCTGTAAAAGTATGTATAACACAAAAAAAAAAATACTATTAAAAACAAAAAAAGATTTGAATACGTGCTATATTAAGTTTAATATAACTGCTGTCATAGGTATCACTATAAAAGGTGCAAAATTAAAAGAAAAATATTATATAAAAGTCACAAACATCTTGGCTTTATTATTACCTTCTATAACATAATAAAATATAACTTTGTTAATTATGTTTGCTACTTAATATTGAATTATAAATTATAAAAGTGATTCCTCATGATTAGAGCCAGGAATTACATTCTTTTAAAATTGCCAAAATAAGATGCAAAATGCAAATATTCTCTTAAAAAGTTTAAAATAGTCTTCTAATATTTTTTAAAAATCATAATATAATATGCTAAAAATATATTTTATTAATATAATATATTGAATTAAGACTAGTCTTTTATATCTAAAATAATAAAGCACATAATATTAAAAAATTGATAATAAATAAGTACATAACATAATAAAATATAATACATGTTTAAAAAAATTTGATTAAATTGTATTAATGCRGTATTTTTAATTTAATTAAAAAACGTCGGTCTATAATGGTATATAATGCGTATATAATATTTCAATATCATATCACTACTAGTGGACGTATAATTTATATTATTTACGAAACTGGAACATAAAATATCAAACATCTTTTTTTTTCTTTATTTGGAATAAGCAATCTATACCTTAATACTAGGGACACAATATGCTTATGTGGTTATAGTAAATATATAAATTAATTTTAATAATCAATTACACGATTAAAAAATATCAAACATCTATAAAAATGTATCGATTTATTCTCTAATATTCTTTATCATACAATATATTCTTTTGAATATATATTCTTGGAATATTCTCATATATGCAAAAAAAAATTTTGTTATTTATTTACCTGTTTCATGATTTGCAAAAATTTTGAATCCAGGTCGTACAGTATATACTCAAAAAAAATTATGCAAAACAATTTCATTCCTGTYTCTATTCATGATGTATTCTAATAAATCATACTTTAAAATAACTATTAAATTGCTATTATGTTGTTCTATTACTTTTAACTCTGATGTCTAAGTCAATTTAAGAGTTAATAATAATAATAAATTAATATTATTTAATTTATTAATAATAATTATTATTATACTCTATATTTAATGGTTATTAAAATTAATTATCAATATGAAAATTAAAATTACTTCTAAAACAAAATCAAGTTATACATAATAAAATAATTTAATATGCAAATATTATTTGTTATAGGAAACCGTCTTAAACACAAATATTCAAAGTGTATCTTGCAAACATATAGAGACTTGTTTTGATTGTAATACAATTGGTGTATCTTTGAAAATTGACCAACAGATTTTAGAATCTTTTAGAGTTCCTCAAAACGTAAAACAAGTATGTTGCTTTATTTATACAGTAGTGGATCTTGGATCTTCATGATGGGGGTTGGGGTCATAAATGGTTATGAATGTTTTCTCTAATATCAGAGGGATAGTTTTATAGAATATAATTATCAGAATGAAAATGAATGCTGGAGAATGAGATCCGTTCAAAATTAATTACACATTTATATCCACCAATATAATAAACCATAATATATCATTAACTACTGCACAACTAAAATTATGGAAAACCAAACTTATATGATTTGGGACTTCTCACATTTGCATGTTGTTTTGTAATAGTTGATGATTATTCTAGATTATTTTTAGTAATTTTATTTGTATATTCACATGCATATTTTGAACATTTTTTAATCCCAAACCCTACTTATAAGACTTAAATCAATATTCAAAAACCACGATTCATGTAATGAAAATATTTAATTCAAATTTTTGATCACTAGTATTAATAGCCTACTTGATAAATTTTTTCAACAATAAAAAATGTAAAATCTATTTAAGAAATTCTATTAATCAAGTACATACTAATGAAAATATATTGTAATATTTGTTTTTACATTATAAAATTGAATGGGTTGCCATATTGATGGTTTATCAAACAATACCTTCTAATGAATAATCGATATTGCAGCTAGCTTATTAAGGACATTTCATTTTTTTTTTTATAAATTAAATATTTAATGATAGAATGTTTACATAATTAATATTTATTTAAAATCGTGTATCCCTGCTTTCCCCTATGAGAAAATCCTAGAACTGCCACATAATAAATTCAACATCTTAAAGAAAAAAAATTTCTTTAAACTGCCATAGGTAACTCTTGTAACTTTGTATGATGTTAAGCTAATTTAACTATAAAGTGATTGTTTGTAACATTTTTGATTTATAATTTACTTCAGGAAGTATGGACAAATTTCGTTGATAAAAAAAAACCATATTTACAACGTGTATCAGAAAATATATTCGTTGTCCGATGTAAAATTACCACTCAAAATCCTTTGGGCTATTTGCACTGTATTATTGGAAAATACAATAGATGCTTTTGTTGTACCAATACATTGGTTACAGTCGATCAAATGGTAATATTATCTTGATAAATTATAATCTATATTTTATTCTTTCATTTTACTTATTTTATTATTCTATAATTTTTGTCAGGATCAAATACCAGACTTAAATACATACTTTTGCTGTCATTACATTGCATGTTTAAGCGCTATAGCAACTTCTCGATATATGGTACAGGAGTTTGAAAAAAATCTTAATCCTTTTGTGTCTGTTTCTACATTGTCAGCCACAATTGTTCAACTTGAAAATTTGCCAAGTAAGTCATCATAAAAATAATAAATACCTAGATTTATTGTTAAAAATTTTACAAATATCAATTTAGTTTAGTTTAGTATTATAAGGTTGTGTCACACCCGCATGTTGTCTCTGTCTTACAAGTGCATAACATTGCAAAAACTGTTTCACACAGGAAAGAACCAAAAAAGCTACATTTATAACTAAGAAACGAAATTTTCACCATATGAATAGGAGAATTTTGTCTATGCAATATCGTTTTTATTTTTTCGATATCACTTATACTAAAAAAGTTCTTATTTTTCCATAATACATTATTTTTGTGTTTTTTAAGCACGAATAACTTTTTTTGTAGTTCTAATATTGAAAAAATTAATACGATATTGCACAGACAAAATTCTCCATTTTATATGGTGAATATTTTGTTTCTTTGTTATGAGTTTATCAGTTTATGACTGACTGTAGTATTCACGGTTCTTTCCCACGTGAAACAGTTTTTGCTATGGTATGCACTTGTTAAACGGAGATAACACATGGGGTGTGGCTTCTTTTTAAAATGTTTTTATTTTATAAGTAAATAACAGATTCAAGTTATAATACTAAACGTAAAATTGAAAACTTTGGAAGGCCATAACTTCGAAACTAAGTGAGAGCGACCAATTCTGATTGCACCATCGTTCTTAACTCGATAAGTTACATAAGTTTCGATAAAAAATTCAAAATGGCAAGGGGGAGCTAAACTGCAATTATGCCAAATCATTTTTTGGTCATATTATAAATATTTGTCTATTACTGGTTTTGTGTAAAAATTCCTGTTTTTCTTAACTAACATTGGAATTTATAATCCTCACTAGCAAAAATGTTTTTGAAATCAATTTACCATTTATGTGCATATTTCACAAATGGCCAACAAAGAAATTACACCCAGTCATGCTATGTTTGCCACTGCTTATAGACTAATTTTAATTTGACATTCTACTATTGTGTCTTGTTAAGCAAAATCCTGATAAATAGTTAATATTGTAACTTATAGTTTGAAGTATCAAATAAAAAAAACTGATTTAATGTTTGTTTTAGATGTCCAGGTTGCAATGGCAGAAGAAAGTAATGGGCCAGTCACATTTTTTGATGATCAGATGATTATCACAAGTGAAACTAGCGTCTTAGAAAGTATTGCTCCAAAATATCAAAGAACTGTTCCAAATATACTAGCGAAAGTAATTATTTTAATTCAACCAATTGGCTTATGTATTATTACTTCTCAATATCCTCAATTTAAACAATTTTGATGTATCTTATATTGTTCTAGTTCATGATTAATAAAACAAATGGCATATGTTAGTTTTTAATAATTTTTATTTGAAGTATAACAATTTAAAGAATATTTCATTCTAATGTTCAAATGTTCTTCATTTAACTAATATAAAAATATAAAACTTATTTTTTAGAAACGATCAAAAAAACCTCAAAACAACTCGAAAGTGAAGAAGAAGATCTGTATGATATTAATATTATATTATTTTAGTGGTAAATATTTTTATTTTAATTTACAAATAGTGTTTATGCTTAGGTCATGAAGAACCACAATTCATAAATCCTAATCCAGTATTAAATTTTGAAAAATGGATTTCTTCTGTTACTGAACGCATTAACCAAGAAATGCATTATCAATTTGATGGCAATCCTCCAACAATGGTGTTTCATATTCATAAGGTTAGTAACAAATTTGTTGATATGACTAATATTGATGAAGGAATTGAATAAAACAATTCTTTATAAAGCTAATTGATAAAATTAATTTCAAAAGCTTTCTTGTTATAAATAGAAATATATATTATATATAGAAATTTTGTTTTACAGACGTTTTTTGAATGTTTGCGAGAACGTATGTGTGTGGCTTCTGAAAAAAAACGTTTACCCAATTATACTTTAGTGTTTGTGAAGCGTGACTCATTACCTTTAGGAACATTCACAAAGTATACTTGGCATATTAATAACATATTGCTAGTGAAGAACATTTTTGAAACACCTTTAGTACCTCTTAATATTAGTCGCAGTTTCATCAGAAACACAGATGGAACATACGATGCTTTTGAGCATGAAAAGTATGACACTAATATACCAACTGATAAGTCTCATCAACCAATACAACCAAATGATTTTAAGACATTTCTAAAAGTTGGTTAGTACATTTAAATTATAATTCTAAGCATGGTTGTAAATGTATGACGGTTATTTTTAATTCATTGAAAAAAAAATGTTTGAACTGTTTAAAGAGCTTTTTGTGTTGTAGGTATTGTCAGTGAGCATCAAAAAGAACCAATACCATTTATTATTGAATGGATTCCTGATGTTCTCCCTATAACTGAGATTGGTGAATTAAGACTGACATTCAAATATGGACATATGCCCCCTAAAGAAAACACMTCTTAAAATTATATTTTATTTTGCATTCTAAATTAATTATAACCATAACTACTAAATTTATGATATACTAATAATTTATTCACAGTTTTCATAATGTAGTATTATTTTTATTATTAAAATATACATTGGGAATAATTTTTCAAATATTTTTTTTTTTTTTTTTTTAAATATTTATTAAAAAATATACAATCTATAAACATAATTACAATAAGCATATGAGCAAAAATACATTATATTGACAGTGAATGCTTGAGGGAAGTAATTAGTCAGCAGTAACACTCGACGAAATATTTGTTAGGTTATTTCACATATAAATACATACATGTTACATTATTATTTTTATTTTATTAGATTAGCTAATTAAGTCGTGGCACAGGTGACTTTTAAGTCATTTTGGTGGATTACCAGGAATGTTTGCTGAGTTAAATGCAAGAATAAATGGATTCGTGTGGCTTTTAAGGCTAAAGTGGAAACGTAGGTAACAGTCAATAATCCAAGATCTGAGTGTTGAGGTTGAGTGAGGTATGAAACAGAAGAGTGCGTTAGTAACAAATATGTAAAAAATTATTAATCAGTATATTATTTTTAATGTGTTGCTATTTATATAATACAATTTATTTAATTTAAATGTTTAACACTTGTGTTTTAACATCTGAATAAAATAAACATTTAAGTATTGGCAATGCCAATTTATATATTCAATGTATAATTTACTTATTTCTTAATTTCCGTTGATTTTCTAAAGACTTTCCATTTTCCCAAATTTCGTTATCAAATTCATTCTTTCCAGAACATAAGGCAATCAATCTAAAACATAATATAATTGAAAGTAAGCAAAAAATAGCTATCTAAATCTAAGTTTCAAAACTTACTTTGAAATCATCATAAAACGATGCAAGTCATCACCAGAAACATTTTTGGGATCAGCTTTTCGCATCTCCACGTAATCATTTTCAATCACCTAAATAAAAAAATAAAAGAGTGAATTGATGAATTAAATTATTTCACAATAACTTAATATTAATTGACTTACTTTTAAAATATCTTGATCATATATAAAAGGAAATGTTGAAATTATTGCGATATATTTTCTCAATTTGTTCAAAAGAGGTAACTGACTGTTTAGGTAACCATGTACTGAATTCATTGTCTCTTCAATGCCAGAACAAGATGGGTCTGGCTTCAGCACAATATCAATATCACACTAAAATAATATATGTAGTTATTAATTGTACATTTGAAAACAAATAATAACTAATTCAATTACAGGTAGTAGAGATTTTCCAATTGATAATGTCAGTGTTGGTATTTGGGTTTCATAATCCATTCCATAATAAGTGAAATCATACTTCATTTGTTGGTTGGATATTATATTTTTTAGAGCTTCAAGATTTAGGATTCCTATAAAAAATCATAACATATAATTTATAAAATTTATAAAATATTAAAACATACCAACATTAATATTATGGTATACTTATAGTTTGTTACAGCAATGTTTAGAGAACTAAATAAAATTATGGAATTCAAGACATTCCAACTATATTTTAATTAAAAAATGTTTATTTTTTAAATCTAAAGCCAAAACAAAGAATTCTTGAATTATAATTAATTATTTTTAAATTATATTTAACAAAATAATTTACCTCCCAAACCTTCCTTTTCCTAATTTAAGTCAAATTTGTAATAAAGATAAAATAAGAACAGTTAAAGACGAGAAATATTGTAACTGTCCAATCAAAATAATGTGCCAATACTAAGTAGTAGCTATAATAGTACTTTCTATGAATTTCAAACATATAATAGGTTAGACAAGAAAGGATTGTAATACATCCATGTTCCTATCTTTAGTTAAACATGCATAAATACACAAAAAATGTTTTTAAACCTAAAAGAAACAGAGACAATTAAGGATAGACAATATTAATTAATTTTCTTTGGATAGAGGCAGTTAGAAAGGAATTTGTTTTGCAGCCATGTGTCTCGATGGCCCCTAAAACTGGAAAAGAATATTATGTTAAACTATATTCTGTAATTATGGTAAAATAATATATTTAAATAAACATGTTAAAATACCTTTACTATCCAAATTACCCGGCTGTAAATCTGTTTCATCTAAGACCAAATGTGTCCTATCTGATAGCTGTAAAAATCCTTTCAATAGTCTATTGGAAGTATAACATTTTCTGAAATAATATAAAATTTAACTTATCAGTTTAACTATAGCATTATATAACCATTTTATCAATGAGAGGTTAAGAACATTTATTTAGATAGTATATTCAGTGAAACAAAGGTCGAAAACCACTGAATCACAAAATATCAACTTGGTAACTAAATTAAGTTCTAGCGATTGACTGATGATAAACTCTTACTATAACTATATTATTTATTATTATCATAGTAAGTATCAATAATATAGCGATTAGTAAGTTTTGAAACATTTAATGCATAAATATATTTTAAAATATTTTCAAGCTTTTTTAATATATTGTATAGATAGGTATTACGATAATATATATTATTACCTTGGAATCAAATCCATGTTATTCAAAGTGTGTATTTGGATTGGAATGTACTCACTTTTTACAACCAAATAAGATATTAATGAGTATAAATATTTTGTGTAGTTTTGTCCAATACCATTAGGAATCCCACGAATGTTTAATGAAAATTTTCCAGGAACTAAATTGTGCTGTCTATTATAACTATATTAAAATATTGAGTATAGTATACACTAACAGTATTTGTGTCAAAATCAAAAGTATTTTTTTTTGTATTTAACATTAAATATACATACATGGTAGATACAAGATAGAATAATAAATAATCAGCCGCTAAAGAGTCTCCTAATAATGCTTGAGTTAATACAAATTTCAGCTCTGCACGAATGTTTGAAGCATCATTCCAGATAGATTTATCTAGTTGATAAATTTGTTAGGGTTAAAATAATTATTTTATTAATAATTATTAATTACACATAAAAATTTCATATATTAGACATAAAAACACAATTTTCAACTTACACATTTCTTCATCATCTGGAATTAAGTTTTTTAGCAGTTTCAATTGAACAGCATGAATACAATGCATTTCTTTAGCTATTGAAGATTGTTCTTCTAAATCTCCACTGTCTTCTTGAATTGTACGTCGGTCAAGAAATCCAACAACTTCTACAATTTGGTTTAACTTGAATTCACTGGTATTAATATCTTCAGGATATACCTTAATATATAAATGTTTACAATAATAATAATATTATAGTAATAAAATGTATGAAAAAACAACAAAATTAATACTTACAAAAATAAATATTTCCTTAGAGTATTTTTGACATACTGGATCAAGACGAATACGTTTATTCACATTTTCTTCACTAAATAAATATAATATTAAATTGTATAAATTATCTAATATAAATTATTTTGGAAATATACTCTCTCTGTCTCATAAAAGAAAGGTACTGTGTCTTAATGAAAACCAGTCGATCATGCATATCTCCATGCAAGACAGTTATAACAACACTAGTTGTCTACTAGGGTCATTGAATTGAGTAAATACGATGGGTGCATCAAAGTGGACCAATCATTTGGCATTGTGACATATCAGTAATGATAGAGTACGAGTAGCACTTCGACAGCAAGGCAAGTCACAATCTGACAGTCTATTTACACAAAACAGTACCTCACTTTTGTAAGACAGATTATAGTACTTAATAATTAACACACAGTTGAACTTCAGCATTTTTGTTTGTATTAGTTACATCTTTGGCCCATTCATTCAATCCTGGAATTGGGATACATGCAACAATTTGTCGTTCCATCAATGTATCTCCTCCAAATACAACTTCTTCTCCGGGCTACAAAGTGAATAAATTGTATACAAAAATATAACTAAATCTTTTAATTCTTTGTACCTATATGATTATACTTACTTGAAGATTTTTTGTGCTGCTTTGATATTTTGCTTGATGCAAAATAAATTCATCATTCTCAGAATTGACAATTTTATAATTGCTACTATAGTATTCTGGATTTAACATATCTTGTATCATTCCTTTAAATCGTACAAAAGTCCCAAGAGCTAATTTATCATCAAATAATAAAGGCACCTAAAAAGTAAAATTATTTTCATGAGAAATTTGCAATAAAATAAATGTATTAATCATAACATTTGTAACTAATATAGTATTCATTGAAATTAAAAACAGACCCTAAGAAATATAAAAAATTATAAGTTGCCTTTGATTAAAAAATATTAGGTAGGCATAAAGTAGTTAGATTGTGTATGACATTATTAAGAATAAATGCCTATCTGAAAACATTTTTTATTTAACAATGTTTGTAAAATTATAATTTTAACTAAAAGTCAATAGTAGTTATTATAGCATGATCAAAATAATATTATTCTTAAAAAACTAATTCTTGATGTTCATGACTTTTGCATATTAATTAAAGTTGTTTATTGATTTTAGGCAATAAATAAGAAGCGATAATTAACTAGGTAGATAACTTTTATAGTATTTTTCCAACTTTTATTTTTTTGTCTAAAAAATGTACCTAACATTAAAGTAAAATAATATACTATATAAACATTATTCATGTTTCTGTTCTGGTCGGTCATAAACTAATGTCACAAGACACAAACATATTTAAATATATAGGCTGTTCGTCCTAGGTGTCTAGGAGCTTAATGTTGATGGAAACTTTTGCAAATGTATGTATAAAAAATATGCATTTATTTTGAAATGCAATCATTCTACAGATCAACAGTCACTTTCCATTACCTTCTCCCAATTCCCTGGTTCATTCAGGATTCTCTTGCATTCCTCTACATTGCCATTCCAGATATCAGCAGTCCAAGTATCCATAATAGTGAGCGTGTAATAGGTGGGCGAGATGTAATATTATAATAAAAATTGTAGTATAGTAAAGTTGAAGAACAAAAACAGAAAAAATAGTGATAGTTCAAGTTATAAATGACTGTGATCTGTGAAGATCGTAACGGAGAAAGAACGATACACAACACTGTAAAGGACGAAAATATAAAAGGATATAGACTGCTAGCGCACCGCGAAAATTTTTACTTTTTATACCTTATGGTTGATGCTTGACTGCTTGAGTCTTTTATGCCTTATCAATTTAAAGTTTTCCCTCGCTTTTCTTTGTTTATCTCCACTATGCAGATTATCAATATCGTAGACCGTGGTCGTGGTCCATCCACTAAATTGTACCATGGAAAAATTATAGTAAACTTTTTGTACTCAGTAAGTTGATAGATAGCGTAAATAATATCAAAATAATTCCATCACCATGGTTATTGCATTTATGAGTTTATGACCTATCTATTTTTATAATTTTACACTCGAATAGTCGAATAGTTAAATTGTTTGGCAAAAAAAATTGAAATGTCCCATATAGCTTCATTACACAAACTTTTGTATAAAACAAAAACAATAAGGCTAACGATTATCATAATAATCCTATTAGACAATAGTTAGTTAAATATTGTAATTATTGTTATGTATGTATACTTAATAGTTAAGTTATAATACAGAATTGCAATTATAACTTTGTATACCTGGAATGTTTTATATTAAGGGAATGTCAGCGGACTATTTTCAACTAAAATATAAAAACTTGTATGTCACCAAATTATTTATTTTCTCTAACCACGCGCAAAACCCGAGACCAAAAATAGCAAGTTAATGACGTTTATGTTCAGAATATCCACTCTTCTATTGTTAGCTTAAATTAGAGCAAATTTACCTGTTATTAAACCTTAAAACAAGATATTATTTATATTTATTAGTTGAATTTTTTACAATTTATAAATTTTTGTGCAAATTACCTTCACAAATAATCTTTGTAGGCTTTAAATTTGAGAAAAGGTTAATTCACTTTATTACTAAAGTTAATAGCACGAAGTTGGTAAGTTGGTTCTGCCGGCCATAAATTTGGTATGTTGCAACATTTGTAAACAAATTGTGCTCTGAAATATTAAATGGATTAATATGTCGAAGCTGTTGTAAATATACACGAACGTAATTTTTTGGTAAATATTTATAATTGATAATAATAGTACCTACAAAATTATTAAGAAATAATAAGAATACTTAAATAAAATATAATTCTTTAGTCTCCTACTTAAACATTTTCAAAATAGCCTCAATCATGAACAAGTAAGAGATATCTGTATAAAGGTTAGGTTAATGCCTTAGTGCTTTTAAATGCTACAAAGTAAACTTCTGCACACTCAAAAACTATTATACATTTATACCTATGTAACTGTGTAAGGAATGATACTTCCGAATCAAATCATAAATGAATATCTCTATTAAATTATAATGTAATAATATAATAGAGTAATACGCTAGATATAATTGCTTGATAGTAAAGTTTCTTTCACAAGTATTAAAGATAAGTAGGTATTATACATTTACACTAATACTCTATAGGCAGAGTTGGGTAATATTAAAGATAAAATTGTAACTTGTATTTTATTATTATATCTTATATAATGATACATTTTATACTAGTATCTTGTATTTTTTTTTTTTTTTTTTTGCTAAAAGATACAATATACTATTATTGTAAAAATGTGTACTGACCAAGATTTTTCGCTTTTTGATGTCAAATAATTTCATTACGGATAGTGTTTTAAGTTTTTACGAAAAATTGTCCAGGTGCAATCGAATTGAAATTAACGATAACAAAAAAATGTACCATACAATTTTATAACTTGTAAAGTTGTGAGATAATTTGAAAAATATAAAATTAAATTAAGGTGCCCGTATATCCTTAGCCCATTTACGGTATACACGTATCTACAGTTATACAGATAACTTATAAATCGTAAGTCCATAAAACCATAACCAATTTAAATTATTTATTCATTAATAATTTTTCAATTTTTACAGACCATATAAGTCCATAAGCAATTATACAAATGAACTATATTATACAAGTACACATTAAGATGTAATTAATTTTGGTGTATTCATATTATATATAGTTATAAATTTATAATTAGTACGTATTGACTATATTATGAAATATAAAAGTATCCTGTATCTTGTTATATTAAATGTATGTATCATGATACTTTTTGTTTAGTATCTCGCCAAACCCTGTCTATAGGTAATTATTAAAATTATTTACGAGTGCACGTCCTATGTCGTATATAGGTAGGTATAATATGTATATGACTATATCAAAATCTGCAAATGTAAATAATGTAGGTAGTTGTTATTATTATAATATAAAAAAGTCTATTCTTTATTTTATGAGATATAATTACTCAAAAAATATAGGTAGTAAATAAATAAATTATAATATTATAATAGACCATTTCAAAATATTTTCTAGATCAAATCAATAGTGAAATAATTTGTTTATCAGACAAAAATGTGTAGGTACTAAATTTATTATTGTTTATAAATTATAAATTAATAAATAAAACAAGTAATTATTGAAAATAACTGTAAAAAAAAAGTAATTACCTATAATATAAGCAAATCAACATTTTGGTTGTACCTATATTAACAATTTGTAATATAACGTCACCTATATAGATGGTAAATTCGAGTAATAATAATAGATCAAATGAAAACATTAACCTATAATTTAAGGGTGTTAGAGAAAGTTATTCGTTTTCTAAAGGTATATATGAGAATGTTGTGATAGAGATGCCAAAAAAATTGTAATAGGACAATTTGCGTAGTTAATAGAAAGGAACAAGTGGGGAGCAAATGTGAGCTTAAATATAACACGAACGCCATATGACTGAGTATGGCTAAGTTTAGTGTTTCGCTAGCCGATACATATTGTATTTTTAAACCTCCAAGATCCGAGAACCGCAAGTAGCTTGGGCCCAGTAGCTCAGTAGTGTTCACCTTCTCTTGGCATTAATAACGACTACAGAAAACAAACAAAATGGTTAGTACACATCTTTATTCTTTATATTACCTAATATTTTAAAATTATTCATAATAAGTTTTAGTATTTTAAATTTAAAGTTTGTATAACAATACAATTAGTTTCGACAGTTAGGTATTAAAAAAAAGTCAAGTTGAATTATCGTTTAAAATAACTAATAAGTTTTAATAATTGAAATAATAAATTATGATGTCTAGACTTAACTTAATTGAATAATCTTCATATTATATATATTATAATAAATAATATTACATCAAGTATAATATTATATATTGAATATACCATATTAAATACATTATAGGTATTCAAATAAGTAATTGGGGTTTCGTTATTATTATTTAGTTTTATTAAATTATGTCTAGTAAGTTTTATTATTACTATTATTAGGATACAATGATCCTGAAAACTAATTAAATATTTTATTTTGGATTTCATCATGAAAAAAAAAATACTCTAGTTCAATTTGGTTTTGAATAATAATAACAAGAAATTAAGAACTAAGAAGTTTTATTTAAGTATCTATGTATTGATATTTTTACATTATAAATTAAAATCTTTCTAAAAATATTAAATATATCATGAAATTAAATCCATCAAATGGCAAACATATGAATATTTGTTTTAAAAGTGTATTGAAATGTTTGGTTATTTTTAAAATAGGTACCTAAATCTAGTCCAATGTTAAATCAAATATGTTTTTTTTTTTATTGAGGGTTGTGGCTTCGATAACCAGGGGGTCATTAGCCTGTGGAACTTTCGGGGAGGGAACTGTTGGTTTTGAACCACTAGTGGATTTTTTTGGCAGAATTTCGAATGGGAACTGTAGGTTTCTGCCATGCCAGGGTGGGGGAGGGGGGTAGCCTCTCTTTCCAGGCAGCATGAACTGCCCAGAAAGCGACGCCATCCATGACCGGGATTCGAACTGGCGACGATGCGCCCGGCCACTACACCCATTAAATTTAAATATGTATTTTCCTTAATCGATCTTTATTTTGTCTAACAACTTGACCAAACATAAACTTAAATAATCATATTAAAACAGATTTCTTTATAAATAGTTCTAAGACCACGATTTTCTCTATTTATTAATTGTATTATGTTTAACATAAATACATTATACTATATATACTGTAATAGTTTAAAATAAAATATATTTACAGACGTATATTAATCAATTAATTATATCTATTTAACCTAATTTTAAAATAATTTTAATTAGAATATTAATTATGATAAAAATTACCTACCTACTGTGAAAGTTTCTATACTCTTGTATACTAAACCTTATGTACTTAAACAAAAATTATTTCAGTCATTCGACATTTTTGTTTAAATTGGAATTTTTGAACATGTTAGATCAAGTATAAAGTTGGCAATAAGTTTTGTTCATTATCTAGACTTTGCTAGGTTTATATTTAGAATATGGCACCGTACATGACATCATATTGGCAAGTTCCCAAATTACGTAGTGGGTATTTGTAAAGTTGGGAACTTCATTGAACTCATCTGCCTGAAATAATAATGGTGGTGACTATTATAAAAACAAAAATTATAAAATTTAAAAGAGACTGTTTAATAATATATTACTGACACATAAGATATGCAATATTAATGCATTCGTGAATTCATATTTAACTTATTCAATTTCAAATATGATACTATATTGAAATATCCTCATATCCTCATACTGAAGATGTATATAAATACATTTTGTTAAGTAGTTATAAATTAGAACGCATAATTTTCAAATGATCTTATAGAGTAATGTTTTTAATACTTCGGTCTTTTTATAAATATTCTGAAAATTATTATTTTTTTTATATAAATTATGATGATATCTAAATGTATTTTGTATCAAATAACAGTAAACATTTTTCGGGTACATTATTGTATTTGTTGGAATATTATTCAGTAAATATGTAATAATTTTAAGTCAAAGATTTATTTAAATTTTTTTTTTGATAGACATAACATATAAATATTATAAACTTACATTGTTTATTAAGGCTGACAAAGAGAAGGTAAAGAAGAAGAAGGTAAAGAAGGAAGAACCAAAAGAATCCGCACCAGCGGAAGAAGTACCACCACCAGCACCAGTCGCTGAACCCGAAGCACCTCCTTCTCATTCCAGCACAAAACACAGCAGCCGTAAAAGTTCATCCAAGAAAGTCCGAAGGTCTGGCAGTAATGTGTTCTCTATGTTCACAACCCAACAAGTGGCCGAATTCAAAGAGGTAAATATAGCCTCTTCCATTAAATGCATATTAAGTCATATAGACTACAAACAACTGTGATTTTTAAAATGATTATCTTAAATTTTTTATAATTCATTGAATAGGGTTTCTCGATGATGGACTGGGATAAAGATGGCATTTTAGGCAAAGAGGACTTGAGAGCCACTTGGGACAAAGTGGGCAAACTAGTTACAGACCCAGAACTCGAAGCTATGTTAAGCGAAGCTTCTGGCCCAGTTAACTTCACCCAACTGTTGACCTTATTCGCAGCTAGAATGTCTGATGGAGGTCAGTGAACTGTTCTAAATATTTTCTATAAGATTTGGTATTACATTAAATTATTACGTAACTAATATTGTAATTTTATGTATTTATTAGGCCAAACCGACGATGATGAGACTGTTATTGCTGCCATCAAGTCGTTCGATGTCGATGGTAAAATCGACAGTGACAAGTAAGTAGTTATATATTATATTTTAAATGTTTAAAGCCCAAGAATAACCGATAATTTAAATCGTTTTAACGTATATTTTAGGCTGAGGTATGGTCTATTGAACTGGGGTGACAAATTCTCGGCCCAAGAAGTCAAAGATGCTTTTGACAACATGGAAATTGACAAAAAAGGAATGATCGACACCGAAGACCTTATCTCCATGGTTTTGGGATCTGGTGACGACGAATAATTTGTATTTATTTTAAATCAATAACCAGTTTTTAATTTATTTATATCCCTGATTTTGCCCAACTTGTGTATCAATTGGTAGATCACAAATGAAAAGTTTGATGAAAGTTATTATCGAAATAAAAAGGAAATCCTCTCTATACATAACTTTGTATTTTATTTGTTATTGTTCTTATAATATAGTGTGTTATTGCATATTATGCAAAAAATATTTCTAGCATATTTACATGAATATATAGGTAATTTAATCTTGATTCTATAGAGATGATAAAACACCTAACTTTATTATTCTATCGATATTTGTCGTATTCGAGACTTGAGTGCATAAAAATATGCCAAAATACCAAATATTAAATATAAACATTAATATTAATGGAAATGTGTATCTACGCTATTGTCACTAATGGTTTTCTCGACTTACTTATTTTCTATATATAAGCCGAAGGTATATATATATAATATATTAGATACATTATATGTATATAACCATTAACAATGGACAAACATTTTTGTCTTTAGGTTAGGTTTTTCTAAATTAAAAACAAAATTGTTTCACAATATTGTGATACAACGTCTCTCCGAGCTTGGTGTGCACGTCGATGGCGACCGGAATGAACTCAGAACTGTCAGTATTATATTATTATTATTATTATTACTCGTCAAGACACCCTCGCGGCATCCGGTTGATGATCGCTAAATTAGCGACGCTAACGCCTGGTCGTTCGTCACGTAACTACGTAAGTGCACCCAACGCAATAAATTGTATGGTGTGCTGACAACAGGTGTCGGTGTTCGAAAGATTGATCGTGTCTACCCACCGATCGTGGACTTAAAGTCCCGGTACTACCTGACGTCCCAAAGTAACGCGTTGGAAGTCGCCGCAAGTACTTCTGTATCCATCTGTTCTGGACGCAATTCAACAAGACACGATTTACAAAACGATGTTGTTCGACGGCCACTTGGTTCTGTTAGCCACGTCGAAGTGCTACGAAAAATACAAGAAGGTGACGATACAAATCACTCGCTGCTACTGTTGCTCTGTCTCGCCAGTGTTATTTAATATTCACCTATATCTATATAGTTGTTTAAATTTAAATTTAATAGAATAATATTCTACGATTATACCCACAACCAATTTACTATAGTCAATTGGCGACAATGACGAAGTGGCCTGATGGTAAGTGGTAAATTATTCTTTGTTTTGTCGAATCGAGCTGCTGTTGATAAAATTGTATTACGAGAGGCAGGGACTTACAAATTTTGTTAAATATATGTTCCCCCCCGCCAACGCCAAACCAAATTCTTAATTAAGCCATTGTAGGGACGTGACGTGCTCACGAAGGGATGAGGGTGTCATAGCACCGTCCTTTTGATTTATTTTTGTCGTATAAAATATATGTTGAACAATGAATGTATTACGTGGTCAGAGAATAGTCAAACATTCATACCATCCCCTTTTAAAAAACTGAGCACGCCACTGACGAGAGGTCAAAATACCTATATTTGTGTATAATCATTATCGATTATCACGTACAAGGGCGGTGGTAAACTCTCCCGATTTTTAAAACTAGTAAACTCTCCCGATGGTAAACTCTACCGAGTACCGGGTAAATATTTTGTTTACCTGAAAGAAATGTGTAAACTCTCCCGGGTCAATATTATGTTTACCTGAGAGAAATGTGCAAACTCTCCAGAGTTTTTTTTAAATGTTATTGCTACCCTATGAATTAGTTACACTGCAGAGATTGTGATTATAATTTTTATTATGAATTGTATTACCGTATTTAATCTGTATTTATCTTGWGTTAACCTGYATTTGTCATTTAAATATTTAATTACCGTTAAAGTATTTTTAATTTAAATATTTAAAACGATATCGACTWYAATGGCTCAACCAATTCTAACTGTGTAAAACGAATAATACCCTATGCTGCCCAGCTAGCTTAGTAGTACTAAAGTAGACTCGGGAGAGTTTACATGTTCCCGTCAGGTAGTATTGGACTAAATCCGGGAGAGTTTACCATCGGGAAAGTTTACATGCCATTAAAATCGGGAGAGTTTACAATCGCCCACTTACAACCCCAAGTTGTATCTTGTATATTTATCCTGAAGACGCTAGACGTCCTAAGATAATGTAGCAGGTAGTAGATGCGGCTCTCTCACCCGTACCCATTTCAAAAAAGTATACATACTAAAAAATGCATAAATAAAATATACTCAAATGAAAATAAAAATAAAAATGTATCTTAATGAAATGATTCTTTTAAATTTCATCAGTTTAGAAACAGTTTTTAGAAAAGACTAGGGAACAATTTTACTAATCCATTTTTTGGTGCCTATAGATACATAAGAAAAAATTCAGATTTACTTACCTATAATATTGATAAAATAAAATGTCTTTAAATAAAAAAAAACATAAAATTATTAAATAGATTTTATTCATAATAAATAAATTGACACCATTAATTTTTCAATTAAACATTTACAACAATTTGTTTCGATCGATATTAATATTTAGGTAACTAGTTGCATAATATATATAAACAAAAACAAATGTGTTAACGTGTTAMTCAATATAAATATAATTCAAGAAAAACTATTTTTAAAATAATCTACTTAGTAGATAAATAATAACAATTAATAAACAACTTTTTTTTACAAATTATCTAGTGTGTTTTTTGACAGCATTTCCGTTGTCCTGAAAAATATTTGATAAATAATTTTATGATTTCTCATTTAAAATAGTTTAGATATTTACACACATGAATAAAAAGATGAAATTTATATGTAAAAACATTTATAAAGTTTTATTGACATAATATAATATAGCACATCACATTCCGGACACCAAAATTCAAGGGCCAACGAATAATATTTTTTAAATCATAAAATAATAACTAAAATCGTAATTTTTTATAAATCCGGTTTTGAAGAAATTTAAAATGCCACTAAATTTTTTTTTAGATTTCTACAATAAGTACTGAACAATACAAATTTAAAATTATACATATTTTTAACAACAAAATAATTTGCAAATTACAACTAAAATTGAATTGTAACCTTTAAAACTATAATATTTATATAATATATTGAACCGCTGAATTGAAATTGTATTTTATTACCTAACTGTTTGAGATTTTGCGATAATGCTTTTATTTATTTATAACTTGATAAAATAAAATAAGTCTTATGAGTTATGACGATTATCTATTTAGATTTTAGACAATTATGTGTGATTAATACAATTTGAAAACCGTTTTTGTAATTAAATTCAAGTGTTACAATTAAAATATGTCCATAAATTAATTATTAAGTAATTAATTGTTTCGTATTTTATTTGTTCCCATTAAATTTTTTTTATTAAACGACCAATTTACAGTAAAAATATCAATTTCACTTTATCAATGAAATATAATATTGTTAACAGGTAATTTATTAATACATTATTATGTATAATTTTACTTGTTTCAAGACCGACAATCCAAGTTTGGCTGAGTGATGAAAAGGTAAGCTCACTGAGATATTAGATACTTTGAGTCTTGGAATATGACCTGTATAACCAGTTATAGGTGGTAATTCAGAAGACACTTTATGATCTAATAAAAAAAAAATATTAATATTATTAATAGGTACCTAATTATTTACATACAATATAAGCAAGATAAAATTGAATTAAAAACTATTTTAAAAAGTAGAGTAGTAGAACTACTGAAACTCATACTTGCAAGTAAAATATGAATACAGTATTAATTATTTAATAATATAATATGATATACATATGCCTATCTATAAAATTACAATAAGTATTCTCAATAATGTATACAAGTATACTTATATTATATCAAGGGTGTTATTTCAATTTTTTTTTTCTTACGTACAACGATTTCAAGTACACCATTTTTAAATTTTACCAATCCACAGATAAATATAATATATACGATTTACCTATCTAAATTGTCCCGTTTTTAATTTTTTCCATAGACCATGGATTATATAAATATAAACCGTGAAAAATAATTTAAAATCCAAAAGATTATCAATAATTGATTACTTAACCTGTGGAAACTAATATAGTAAGAAATAAGTAATAATATTAGTAATGCGTTAAAATCTAGAAGAAAAATGTAATGCAATAACAAAATAAACGAACATAATATTTACTTTTATTAATTTACATATTTTATGTTCCATATTTATTACTTTTACGAACAAAAGTAATATATTTTTAAAAAGCGGATACTTGCGATTTTTAAGTTTAGACCTTAGAATATACGTTTACAGCGTCTATTAGATTAATATAATTAACTTATATACTTTTACAAAATTATAGGTTGGAGCCTTGGAGGTTCTATCGTTTAATCATTCAATCAATAGTTTTTCACTACCTATGCAGTGCGTAATATGACTGTTTACAATTTTTGAGAGATGAAAATAACTGTTACTTGATTAATTGCAGATAATAGATATAGTATATGCTGTATGTTTATTAATTTCATTTGTTAGGTAATATTAAAATACAATTTAAATTGAATTATAATTAATGAGTATTGTTTTTATGTTTTATATGTGATTCACTATTTTGGTAAGCTAATTGGGATTATTTTAAAAGTAAGGGGTGCAACCCCTGCACACTGACCTAGAGACCTCCCCAGCTCTCTTCCCTAAATGAAGTAATGACACCTTTCAACCTTTGTTTATATATATATATACATTTATATGTATATATATATATATATATATATATGCATATTGTATATCAATCCTTTGGTATATAATTTAGGAAATTTCGTGTTGTGCCCTTATATATTCTAGTATAAGAGTATAACTAAATGTTTCTTTAATAAATCTATAAAAAAATGAATACTAAAAAACTTATCATATCATATGTATACATGGTTAAAATGTCACTATATTCATAAAGTTATAACTTGTAAGTCATAAGTTTTCAATTATAAAATGATATACTTAATAAAAAAAACCATAGATATTTTGGTTTTTTGGCCCTAATTATTATACATTTGTAACATAACGTTTACCTTTAAAATCTTTGCTTCTTTTATATCTATTCAAAGTATGTTGTAAACGCATGTTGGCTTTATCTGGAACCATTTTTGGAGGCAAAAAACGAACAGGTCTATCGATAGCTTGTCGACTTTGTTCTGACGATAATTTGACAAGCATATTGTCTTCACATTCTTGAGCAAGTCTACAAAAAGTTTTGCCATACCGAAAATGCATTCCTGGTATATATCCTATAATTAACACAATATATTAGTAATAATATAAGTATATTAGTAAATTTCTATAGGTATTAAATAAATTTACCGGTATAGCCTAAAATATATCTTTGATAATTATTGACTGTTTCTTGTTCTTTGTCAATATTAATTTTTAAATCGTTTTTATTTGATTTTGGAGGTAGTTCATCTAATGGGCTATCTCTCAGGTACACATTTTTTAAATCACATTGTTTTAACACACCTTTTTCACGAAGTTCCTTAAATTTATGAAACCAATTAAAACCATGTACCAATATATTTGAATTAAAAATCAAAATTTTAATTAAACAAATCATCTTATATTATATAGATCACCCCTACATACACTCTACCCCTCCCAAAGTGAAAAGACTTCTATAAAGACCTTGGGGTCGTTTCGATACAAAAACATTAAAAAAAAAATAAAAATATTATATAGGTAGGTAATAGTTTCTCTAAATTCAAACCTGAATAATGTCTAAAGTATTAGCTCCATATCGTTTCCCAAAACGGAATTTCAATGTTGGACAATGGCCAGTGTAACTAAAAAATATAAAATAATTTATATTTTATATGAATATTCTTATGTGTATCTATATAATTGTGGTTAAATTTAGATACCTATATACTATATATTCCACGTAATACGTATATTATGTAATATTTAAAATTAAATTAGACGATATAAATTTAAATCTTAATATTATGTTAAAATCAAGGTAGGGAACTATATGAAACATAACACAACAACACTATGCTAAACTTATCGATTTTCCAATCCACTATGTTGCCTACTTTTAGTACTGAATAATAAACATTTTTACCTGCTAAAAGGGCTTTAATTATGTCTGGATGAATAAAAAGGGAAACAATTCTTATCGGTTCAAAAAATCTATGATTGAAATATTAAAATAGCTTATGCGAGCTATTCTATATGTTTTTGTACACATTAAAATACAAATATATAATAATAAACTATTTATTATTAATATATAGACTGATTTACTAAGTATACTGATACCCATTTTTTTTATATAATTATTTATTTATTTAAATTCCGTTTTTTGGAAATTTTAAACGTAAGTACCTCAAAGTCATTTTTTTCAAATTCTTGAGTTTTTTTGTATTACTTAATGGGTGTCCTATGGTGATACGAACTTCTGTTCTAAAAAGAGAACCCCCTTTTGGCCCTTTTTGCTGTAAATTATGAAGTGAATTAGGTATTAGATGGATAAATGTATTTTTGTACCTTATCCGAAATTCACGTAATTTCATACTTAATTAACTAGCATTTTCAAATCTTCATATCTTATAAATCCATTAGCCGGCCCTCGGCAATTACCGTGGACCTTTTATCCTTGGAACACAGAGTTAAATAATTTAAAATTACTTATATGAATTTTGATTCTGATTCTTCAAAATTTTTAGAAAAATTATTGGCTGAATAATTTACAGTGTAATAAGAGGGGGGGAGGGGTTCTAATTTGAAAATTAGAAAGTTGTATTTACACAGGACACTCCTTAAAAATTATAAAAATCCTAAGAATTCAAAAATATGATATTTAATTATATAAAAATTCCAAAGATCCAATTTTAAATATCTATATCATTGAAAGAAAAAGAGGGTTAGCATGCTAGGTGAATCACCCTGTATATTTTGAACATTTATAACACACATATAAATATAATTTACTATTTTGAGAAAAATGCGATATGTTTATTGGAAACCCATATAGATAAATGTTATTATGTATATTATATCTATTAACGAAATTTAATTATCTAGATAAGTACCTATAGGTAACATAAATATAATTTGCACATTTAAATCAACATTTTTATAATTATTAAACAAACAAAATTTTTAATTACCCAGGTATACAATTCATTATATACAGTTGCATCCAAAACCGCACACTTTTGATTTTGACCCGAAAAAAGCTGGTAGACAAAAACCGCACACTTTTTCAATCATTATATAACAAAATACCCCAAACCTATAGTGGTTAAAACCGCACACTAACTAACGGATTAGATAAGATTACAAGATTTACTGCAAAAATCATGCTAACACGTTTTAAGACCTTAGTCACCACTCGTTATTATTTTATTAGTAGGTCTTGTCTCTTGTGTATACAGTATACATATACAGTGTTTACCAATAGGTATTTAGTGGTTTTTTGCAGTTTTATTAAATTATTAAAATATTTTTAATTAGACATAATAATGATGCCGATTGAGATCGATTAAAGTTTTTAAAAAATGTCGGTAATTGATTTCCAAGCCATTTCAGCCAAACAAACTTTAAAAATTTTACACGCTTTACGTTTTTAAATTTGAATAGGTACTTGTAAGTACATTTTTTTTTGAATAAATTATAAAGTATTAAGTATATCTAATCTAGGTAAGTATAACCTTTTTGGTGTCGAAATTAAAAATGTTTGGTCTTTGGATACAACAATTTTAAAAATTGTGCGATCTTAACCTATTAAATGTATGCGGTTTTAACCTACCAAAAATGTACGGGTTTGTTCTGTAGTTTATTAAAAATGTGCAGTTTTAGGAGTCAACGGAATAATATACTATTAATAGTATATTCATTGTCTGGGTAAATAAATTTTTTTGTTTTGTTTAATCATGACACTTAAAATAATAGATGTACCTAATCAAAACATTAATAATTAGGTACCTATAGATCCTAGGCATAGTTTTATTTCATGAATTCAATATTTTATGATGTGTCACTAATCATTTTCATTTAAAAATCCATAAGCAATGACAGAAAATATACTATAAATGTTAGACGAAAATATATATTTAAAATAATAAGATGGTACCATTACGTTTATATCATATTTTATAGTAAGAATCTAAAAGACAGGAAACGCATACTTTTACATAAACTAGTGTCTTTATAGGCATATATATGTTATACATTGTAGTGTAATAGCGGAAAGTAAGTGTAGCTGGTACTACCAGTACCAGGGCCAAACAACAATAACAATCAGTTGACACGGAATGGTAGAATGTAGAAAGGATTAGTTTTGACTGAGATTTCTACCAAGGCTAAATAGAATTGTCACGTTTTTTTGTTAAATAATAAATAGTTCAGAAATCGTTTAGTGAAGACATAAAAATATTTTATTATCTTTAAATACTTATTTTATAAATTTCATATTACCTACATATTGAAATGCATAAATAAAAATAAATAAGAATATTATTAAATTGTTTTTATAGAAATTTTCACATTGGTGAAATATAAATCAATAACACGCCAACATGCGTAGCGAATATCTAAGTATCATTTATGAGAAAACTTCTATGAACCATTACTAATTACATTCGCTATAGTTGCTGACATAATTAGAAAAGTGAGATCTAAGAAAACCACTTACTACAGAGAAAAATGTTCTTTTAATTTAATTTACCTGCAGCCGGCAGGTATCAATAATATTTTATGTGTTAAATCTCATGCTTAAACATTAAAACAAGGAATTACAAGAAAATAAGTAATTAAAATAACTGGACTGTGCAAATGTGCAATGTAAAGTATTTTAGCATCTATTTATTTATTGTTAAATTATACTCGTAAAACCTAAATAGAATTAATTTTAGATTATAATATAAATTACCTTATACTAAATTTTTTGTACAGTTTTAATAACTACTAAATTTAAATGTCATATAATGTTATTATGCTAGGCATTGCTAGTACCTAGTACTAGATATATATAGGTAGTATAGATAAGATGAGTATAGATAGGTAACTAGTACCTATCTTTTGGTGATAAATTTATTTTTCATATGAACTTTCTTTTTACAGTAGATTTTCTTCTAAATTTGATGCGCCTACATCGACATTTGAAAAAGGAATTTAAGATTAGTTAAACTATTAATAAGTAGTAAGTTCGATATGATAATGTTCCATCGTTAAAAACGTTTATGATAAAAAATTGATCACTTTATCCGATGTTATGGCGTTATGGAAGTCGCTTTGATGATATGCAAACTTAAGCAATAATTATAGATTAATAAAAACTATATTTGAATATACTATTTGAAATTACCTATACATAAATAAGCGTTACTATTTTAAGCTGCAGTAGTGTTTGTATAGCAAACGCCAAATAAGGAATAAATATCATTATAGATGTTATGAAAAATCAATGTATATGTCTTCAGGTATGCTTAAAAAGTTCAATAATTTAAATAACTGCATTATTAAAGGATATAAGGAGTGAGCATGTTTCGGGAATCATTATGTATTATTTTTAATAAAATTACTAAATCAGACTAGGTATCAGAGTATAAAAAGTATATATCCGTGATCCGTAGCTATGCACCTTGGAGTGAATAACGAATTCGTAAATGGAAGTTTTGAATATGTAGTTATAACTCCTAATAAGTATATAGGATATGTTATTATGATTGTCAAGGCCAGGGTCATATTATAGTATTATACACAGTTTTGTTTATTTCAAAATTGTTCATTTTGTTATATACAAATTTAAATGTACTTATAATGAGTATAGGTATTAAAAACTACTTGAAATTCGAGTTTAAGTACGAACTATATGGATCATTTTCTATTCAGTAGGTAAAACAAATTACTATAGAATTATTTAATTAGTAATTACTTCCTATTCCTAACTTTTACATTATGCAACGGATTTGAACATTTTTTGAAAATATATTAGGTATGCATAAATTACAAACAATTAAAACATATTTACATAGGTATACGGTAGTATTACGCATACGGCGTGCGGCTATAATTAATGTATTATATTAGGTACGTTATTTTCTACGCGTATTTTAACGGATTAATATGTAAAAGTATAATAATGTATAACATAGAGTAATAGCAGGCAATGCTCTTATATACTCTCGTATAGTCAATAGTCATTATATTATATAATACATAATAAATAAGCATTAAACACCAAAAATCATGAAATTAAAACGTAGATTTATAATGTTAAACATATTTATCAGAACAAAAAAAAAAAAAATTAACTAATTATGTACAATAAAAATTCAAAATAATAATCGTATTATTCGGTAATCGTTTTTAATTTTTTTTTATCGAATTTCATCCATAAAAATTCTATTAACTTGAAATATCGTTAAATATAGATATACCAGAATAAACATAAGTTTAATTATATACAACAATGAATTTCAAAACAAATAACATACTTACAAAAATTTTTTTTTTTAAATAAGCATGTTATACCCCTGTCCGCTGTTATTCTAGAGCACATAGTATACATGAGCACAAACAATAGGTATATAGGTAGTATAATTGTTTATTATCGATTTTTATAAATAAAAGAAAAAAAATTATTATATTAAAATATTTATAAATATTTTAATTTTTTGTAACCCTGAAATATTATTTACTTTTTATTGCGGCATTGTTATGTTAAAGTGTTCGGTGAAACTCTTCTCCAGCTGGCAGTACCCACAAGAGTCACAATTATTTTCGCCGATTAATATTGAGCTTTGAGTTGTAAGCTTATTTTATAAAATAGAAAACGATAGAACTAAAACAAAAATATTCTGGAGAGTCGAGACTATGAGATATCTAGTCAAAGTTATAGATGTTTTTTAATAAGCTGGATTAAAAGGCTTAATAAAAAGGCTATGCCGTCTTGGATAGGAGCATACTAGCATTGTCGTGTGAAAGTGACGATAAAAGGAGAAAAATTAAGTTTTTTACAGCTATAGGATGAATAATAGATGAACAATTTATCAATTTTATATTATAATAAAATTAATAATGATTCGATTAAAACTAATGGAGCATTTACATTCAATATTATTAAGTTCCAATGTTTTGACATTAATTTGATCACATATAGTATTTTTGATATATTTATACACAAAATCGAAATTTTTAAGGTTAGGTAAATAATTATACCTAATTTTCCGATGGATATTTATGATTTAAATTGTTGGAGCACTAGCCTGCATTGCCTGCTCAAGATTTTATAAAAGTATAGACTATAGGTAGCTGTTTTTGTTCATCTATATTGGTTCGGGATCTAACACACCTACGTAGTTAGTTAATAAACAAAATATTTTTTGAAGACTTGAATACGTCTGATATTATCAAAGATTAAAATTGTGAAACAAAAATTTAAAAAATCCAGAAAATTAAAATAATAATTCATTCAAATCACTCAATAGATTCTATTAAGTAATATATAAAATACCCATTAAATTACATCTATAATTAAATAATTTTAAAAATGCGTTGTGTTTTTTATTACCTTTTATTCGAATATTATTAAGACGAGTATATAATATATAATTATCAATTATGACAGTACATTAAAAAATAAATTGTAATGATATATTTTTATATTTTAAGTTTGAATATTGTAATTTATATAATATTTTTAATTGATATTAAATGGTAGTTTCATTATTGTCTTTTAAAATAATCCTATATATCATATCTGAATACCAACTATCAACTAATTACAGTGAACATTTTTCTTTTAAAACATAACATTAATTATAATTAAAAAAAACTCTAATTAAAAACATAAATACATTATAATGTCAGCAAACGTATCATATAACATGGTTCGAAGGTTTGAACCTACGCGGAACAGACATTTTTATTGATTTTTTCACATCATAAATATATAGGACTTTCCATAATATACATACAGCAATAGGTACACCCACAAGAAATAACTAAATAACAACTTACCCTGGTAATAGAGCACCATTAGACTGACTGAAAAGTTTTTCTCGTTCTTTTCTATTACATTCTATTACCATTTCAAATTCGGTTTTAGCTAAAAAATAATGTACATTTTTACTAAATACAGGCATGTTAAATAAAAATTAATTGTTGTTAAAAAAATTACCGAAATTCTTTAAAACAGTGAAAGTGTAGTTAATTAAAGTTTTTTCAACTTGCGATAGTTTCCGATATTATTTTTGTAATAAAGATCAACATTCAACAACAAACAACCTACCTCCTTCACTTACCTCCGACTCTCCGAGTTCTAGGTACAATGGACTACTGGATACAGATTTTCGCTTTACGATATTTTCCACGGTTCCACACTTCCACGAAATTTAAGCAAGGGTCGAGAGCACAATAGTAGCGCCATCTGTTAACGTGAAAATTGTTAAGATATATCAAAATTGTGCATTTGTTTGCGTATTTAAAATGGAATAAAATATATCTTATCCATTCCGTGGTTGTGCTGTATTCAGTATTCTGTATTGACACGACAATACRAGATACGACACGCAACAAGTTTAGTGTTAATATCCATATTCTATAATAGTGCGATCGCTTGATAAGTATTATCATCCCATATATGTGTCATGTAACTATGTAAGGACTATTATATTATTATTAATCTTCTGGAATTTATCTTGTCACAGATAATTCCAAATTTCCAATAGTTCGTAGAAAAAATATTAAAGACTAAGTTTTAGAATACAACACTACTACAGTACTACACTGCTACTGTATAGTAATCACTTTACTATAATAGTAGGTAAGTCAGTTCTATAGTATTTATAAATATTGAACTATGACAATTTATTATAAAAATTTGTTTTTTTTTTTATGTATATACTATTAAGAGCACGGCAATGTGAACTCCATAACCAAAACATTTACTCCTAATCAATGCTGATTCAATGAGTTGAATTAGTATTTTTTAACAACCATTGGAATGGTTTTCCCAAAGTTTTTGTTGGTGTTAGTCATCTTCCCATACTTATACTGTGAAAGTCTGGATAATGGTAAGTGTTTAAATTTAATTTTTTAGTTTTGTTAGATGTTTAGTACAAACTTAATAAAATACAATTAAACCATAAGCGTCAATTTTTCCTATTTATCCATATTATGTGAAAATTAATCCATATTGGTTTTTTAAAATCGTATATTTAGTATATTATCAATAATATTATTTGTTTTTTAGATGAATTTAACAATGTAAATACCACTGTTCAGTTGATTTCAAGATTTTCCCAAGATCTAATTCATGGCTCAATATTGTTTTCCCAACATTCTTTGATTGATGATATTATTCAAATTTCTGTTTCATTAAAAAATTTTGGCAACTCATTACAATGGTCTTGGCAAATAAAAGAATTTCCCGTTGACTATTCTATTTTAACTGATCGGTGTAGTGACAAAAATCTTGGAAATAAGTAATATATTTCTCTTGAATAACTGTTGTAATATGCACATTTAACAATGAATTATAAACATGTATTTATAGATTATTAAATTTTGATGATACATTTGGAGAATTAACATTAGAAAATCATACAAGACTTCAGTTTTCAATTTCAAAATCTATATTAGAACTTACTGGACCTTTAGGAATTTGGTATAGATCTTTGTTGCTTAAAGATAATGCTGGAAATACCATTTGCTCAACAATTATGGTTTGTATTTTATTATTTTAACAGCAAATTTGGATTATAAAATAAATTGCTTACTTAAATGTATGATTAGTATTAGGTATTAATTTAATTTTAATATTAAATACTAGATTTGTTTATACAGTTGACTGGGGTTAAAATATGCTTATATTTATTCATTTTAAGGTGCAGTGGTACATACATGGTACTTCATTTTTGAATATTTAGAATATTTATGCATTTTTCTATTTTATTGAGCACATTATAATAATTTTGATAATATTATTGATCTAATTATATTAATGTGCAGTTTTTCATTGAAACATCACGATTACCAAAATTTTATCAAAATTTCAATAATATATTTTTTTCACTGAAATCTATGAGTATCATTGCAACGTTAAATTATTGAATATATACATTTTTTTTTTAGATATGAATGGATATTTCTTGCTATTTCATAAATTGCTTAGTATTTACTTTTAATCCCCATATTTGTAATACATAGTTTTAGATCTTTATTGCATAAAAATGCTTTTGAACTTTTTAAGACATATTTCAATACATATTTTGTCAGTTTTTACTGTTTTTAGTGTACAAGAGCATGCTCCATAGCATATTTTAACATACAAAGTACGGGGCACTAGTGCCCCYCAGTGATATTTTAATGCTACCCASTGGTGGGTGATCGTGCCACACTGCCACTGACTAATACATTCTCATAACGACCGATAGGTACCAATGTCAATTATTATGTATAAAGAACATAAAACTATTTTAAGCTTTCAACTCTTGTATAGTTTATCCCATACTATATAATAAACAATAATAGGTAATATTTTATTGAATGTAGAACATGCCACATGCTCACAACTATTTTGTCGGAATTGTTTATATTATATACCTATTGATAATATAAATTATACGAATAGATATAGTTGTACTGATGTAGTACGAAAATAGTACACGTAATTTTAACAATGCTATCAATTTCTTCGGAAGTCGTCAATCGTCACCTTAAATTGAAGGTTGGGTGGGAATAAGGTGCTATATTACAACATTTCTAATTTTCTACATATTTTGAATTTTCGTCCTGTACTCCTGATGAAAGACAGGCGAGGCGATACAGGCGGTACACTGTATAGGTAAATTTTATACTACTTTTATACGATTGTTTTGAAGTATTCATATTTCATAGCATTGTTCTGTGATTGAAATATCAAATACTTATACTCGTCCAGGGCCGGAAGGAATTGGATAGTCTCGGCCCTTCGAGAAATATTTTTCAATCGGTCCGTAATTTGCTATAAAAGCCCATATTGGACGAATTTTAGTATTAATAAATAGTAATGATCTTATCCTGTTTGTTG